AGCTAAAAGGATTTCGAGAGGGACATTGGCTTCTCGATTCGTGAAGATTATCGAAGGTGAAGGTTGAATATTGGAATCTGGATGCACGTGTTATGAATCATGTGAGACATCCTTCATCGTTATTTCACATCCTTCTGCATATTCTCGAATTATCCTCATATTTTACAAACGATAATGTTGATTACATTGTCTACACTTACGATGAATATAACTGCTATATTAAACTATAATACTTTTCAACCACGACTCAATATTAAACATTCGACTCTTTTTATTAACAAACGAACAATAATTTCTATTTTCTATAATCTTGAATGAACTCGAATAAATTCGTTTAAACTCCCATAACATTTCTACAGGTTCAAAAGTTTTTTTTTTCATGATGTTCGTAGTAAATATGTTCAAATTTTATTCGCACAAACGATACAAAACAATTGTTTCTCGACAGAAAACGCATAACTTGACATTATGAAATGCACTGTTACGAATGCAAGACTATTAATACGCGTTTAAAAATGTTCGTGTTCGGAGATCTCGAAGCCCAGTGTTTCGATTCAAGTTCAACGCGAAAGAAAATGGCGAAGTGTGTTTTAAGGCTCGTGAATATGTATTGGGCAAAATGCCTATAGAACAGGTGTTTCAATTGACAATAGATGACGGTTAAAAGGTACCGACGAACAAAGAACACTCGCTCATACCTCCAGAATTCGAAATTACTTAAACCACGATACTTTCGCGAAACTATGAATACATCTTCGGGAAGCCAAGTGACAGATGGTTTACCAAACTTTAAGCCCTTCACGTACATACGTAAACGTGCCATTTGAATACCAGGAAACGATGAGAATATGAAAATAGTAATCTATAAAGTATGTGTCAACGACATAATAGTTTGTAGACGCTATACACACGGAAATTGTTTTTTTCACCGCGTATTTGTATTAACTTGAAATTGTGCGATGAAAAAAATATTGCATTCCGTGTTTCCCCGAATATGTTAAATATTTTTGTATCTTGACGTTAAACACAAAAACATAAAAAAAGTCACTTCAGATGGAACACGATATAACAGAACTACTTTTTGTAAAATGACTCCGAGGATTTGGGAATTGAAAATAACATTACTCGAGTTATCGAGAACAATTATTTGTAATAGAAAATTGAATTTAACGTATCAACCTTATCGACGAAGTACGCTGAAACGCCAAAAAAGACATTTTTGGAAAACGAAATGTTCCTAGAATTTATTAAAGATGAAATTCTTGACTTAATAAACGGCTTTACATACATATAAAAATTTTTTATACGAGTTGTATAAGACTTTTTAGAATTTCTAGTTGACATTCAAAAATGGATTTTATTTTAAATCTTACTTAATGCTAGATCTAACAAGATGGTCGAAATGATTTTTATTATTTATTATAATTTTGTAGCATTATTCTAATATTGTTTGTGACTTTTATTGAAGTATAGAGGGTGTTCGGCACCCCTGGGAAAAATTTTAATGGGGTATTCTAGAGGCCGAAATACGACGAAAATCAAGAATACCAATTTGTTGATGGAAGCTTCGTTAAAAAGTTATTAACATTTAAAGTTCCACCTGTACTGAATTTTTTTCTCAAAAATGCGCAGGATTTCGGGTGTATGTGTATTCACAAAAAATGATTGTAATTGACCCCCGCAACCGAAAATAATTTTTCCAGAACGATTTGAAATTTTTTTTTCCTTGCAAAATTTAGGCACCTAATTAGATTTTCGGTAAGGAATTTTTTTCTCGAAAGTGCGTAGGAATTCGGGGGTATGTGTAATGACCAAAAATGACTGTAATTGACCCCCGTAACCGAGAATAATTTTTTTAGAACGATTTGAAAAAATTTTTTTTGTCGAAAAATTTCTGCACCTACCCGATTTTTTTTCTCGAAATTGGATAGGATTTCGGAGATATATGTATTCACCAAAAATGATTATAATTGACCCCCGCAACTGAAAATAATTTTTCCGAAACGATTTGAAATTTTTTAATTTAATTGTTATTTTTTACGAAGCCTCAGTCAAGAAATTGATATTCTTGATTTTCGTCTTATTTTAGCCTCTAGAATCTCCCATTAAAATTTTTTCCAGAGATGGCCGAACACCCTGTATAAACGATTAATTTTATAAAATAAAAGTTTTCTTTTTTTTGTTTTCTATCTATAATTTATATATAGTCCGCCTATGTATACCAAAAGGGGTAATTTCAACCCCTTACAAAGTTTATACTCCACGTGTCACCCTTCGAACCGAATATTTATCAATATTACTTCGATACATACTCAAGTTTTAAAAATAATCTTGTCACTTATTAGTGGATAATATTTATCTGGAAAACAATGCTAATAACAAACAAATGGCAGTAAAATAGTAAAGTACAGTAGAAAAGAAAAGTAATCTCAGGGCACAGTATGCACCGTGCATATAATAATAACAATCTCCCAAGGACTCAGCTCATCGGAAAACAGAATAATCAATTCCCGAAATTGTTTTGAATAATTATGAAGAATCCCGAATATTCGATCGAATGGAAAACGGCACAAAAATATCTTACGGTAAAAGGATATTATAAAACAAATATCGCTGTTTAAAATTGCTATTAAATTAATCATTTTTCTATCGTTTAATTTTTAATCGATGCAGTTTACTCTAAATGTAAAATGTTAACGATAATTTCTGTCGAGGAATCCGCTTTCCGTGAAATTGCACATATGGATTGTACGATAATAAATAACCTGTAAATAGGCACTGCTAGAATGGCAAAGTAACTTACCGGCGAACACGTGATCGGAGTCCTAATATCGGTGGCCGAACGATTATGTAGGTGAAAACTGTCTGGGTCACCTGTTTACGGAATTTAGGAAGAATTCAAATTCACGTGCCCTTCTCTATTCCCAGAGGATCGTTTGAATCGCGTTCACGTGAGTTTTGTCGATCGACACGTCGGGGCAAAGGCTACGATCGACAATGGAATCGTTTCGTAGCGACGGCTAGTTTGAAATCGAACGAAATCAGCCGACGGCACACTATAGCGATATCGCGATGCCGCCCGATCGAGCGAACCGACTCGAATGCGTTGGCGCGAACGAATAATACCTCCACGCGACACAGAACGGCTCGCCACTGCCGAAAACTTGACTGCCACTGCCTGGCCAGTGTCTGAGAGCAAAGGACTAAGGCGTGGTTTCCAGGCGCATTAGGATGATCCACGTACCGAACGAACGCCCGTGAAACTTGAGACCGAAAACCTTGAGCAAGCCCGACTTTCCACGTAACTGATAAGCTCGAAGCCCCCCGAACAACGAAAACCTTGAAACTTGCGTGGTCGAATTGAAAAAAAAAGCTGATGAGAAACACGAAAGCGTCTTGACGACCGAGTAATCGGAAACGGTTGCAAAATAACAGATTGGGAAATAACAAAATTAACACCTACTTTCTATCGGGGACACATACACTACGTATACTAAATCGCCCGTGACATGACAACCTTTTTTTATTTCTCGACACACCTATTAAATTATTTCTACCAAAGGTGTCGAGAAACTTGAAAATTTTAGTAATTATTTTTCTATGTTTAATTTTTCCCCGATTGATTTTTCGACTCTGTAAACATATTTTTTTAAATGCTGAAAAATTTCCCTAGAAATTCGATGCCAATCGATCAACCAGAACTTGAGATATCATGGACACTGGAGCAATGTGATTTCAAGAGATTTTATATACAGAGCGTTCGGCCAACCCTGGGAAAAATTTTAATGGGAGATTCTAGAGGCCAAAATAAGACGAAAATCAGGAATACCAATTTCTTGACTGAGGCTTCGTTAAAAAGTTATTAACAATTAAATTAAAAAATTTCAAATCATTCTGGAAAAATTATTTTCGGTTGCGGTGGTCAATTACAATCATTTTTTATGGATAGACATACCTCCGAAATCTTACCCACTTTCTAAAAAAAAACTCGAGAAGGTGTGAAATTTTTCGACGGAAAAAAAAATTTCAAATGGTTCTGGAAAAATTATTTTCGGTTGCGGTGGTCAATTACAATCATTTTTGGTGAATAGATACACCCCGGAAATCCTACGTACTTTCGAGAAAAAAATTCTTTACCGAAAATATACTGTGTGGCCGGAAATATTTCTGTAACTTTTTAACGAAACCTCAATCAACAAATTAGTATCCTTTCATTTTTGTCTTATTTTGGCCTGTAGAATCCCCCATTAAAATTTTTCCCAGGGGTGGCCGAACACCCTGTATAAAAAGAAATTGTAGAATGATATTCGAGGACGAAAATTAATTTTACGTCTTTAATTTACATATGCCATAGTGCGTTGTAAACAAGATATAAAACTCAAGGTGAAAAGCTCGAGACCAACTGTTAAATAAAGTAGGGATCCCCTAATGTCTGTTAGCAATGGCGCCTTGTACCATTTCTATCAATTAAAAAATTGTACACTATCAATATCATACAAACATATCATGATTATAAACATATCGTGATTATAAACTCGTGACATTATGTTTTCCTCTTACTTATATCCACGCACGTATACGTTCTAAAATGATAAAAACAGTTTATTATTACTAAAAACAAAGAACCATAAAAACCGGTTCTTAAACTGGTATACATTAAATAAACGGTTTGCTTCTTATTATTACCAAGAAAATAAGAAAATACGGTTATTTGGTTGAACCGATCGAGTATGAACAAATACATGAAATAATAATAAATAACAGTTTTTGTGAGTATGCTTTAGACATAAGCAATTATTTACGACGTAATCGTGTGTAGAGATCAGCGTATGGAAAGAAACAGAGAATAGTATAGGAATGTACGCGCCATTGGATTTAAATATTCGTGAAACTTCGTACATGTCCGTGTTCGCTCGAAAGTGCCCTATAGGAAGGTGGAACTCCAAGTCTTTATCAATAGTAGAACGTGCCTGCGGTGCCTGTCCATCCACAGATAGTAATCCGTACGCGATCGTCGAATATTGTATTCGAAGTGATCGTTCGAACACCGGAAAGGCGTCGCAGCTACGTAAATTAGACGAGCCAAGATTACGTCGTGTAAAGTTCAGTTAAAAATTCGATAGTCGAGGTTGCGTGGTCTATTGAGGTTCGTACAGTCTCGGAAGCGATCGAGTATCTCCTGTGCAAGGATCAGGATAGCTTTATCTGTAGCCAGTGCAGATTCATCCCTACGCTTGGGACGTTTTACTCGGTGCGGATTACGCAAACAGCGAAGATTCATCTCGTGGGAAACGAGCCCACAGGAACACAAAAATGTTCGCTAACAGGTGTCAAACTGTTCGGTGTGGTCGAATCTTGTCACGGCAACTTATCAATGGTATTTGTAGTCATTTTACTCCCTTACTTTCGTTTATCGTTAGTATTCAATTACAGAAAAAATTGATACGAGAATTAAGAGTTTATCGAAATCTAAGTCAGTCAGCGTCGGATGACACTGAGAGAATCGATAACTCGGTTTCTCTCGTGAATCTTCCAACATTATTTACATACGTAATTTAGTGGCGTATAAATTTCTATAAAAAATATACCATTCATAAAATGAAGTAACTACACAAAATTCAAGCAACGATCGTGAAAAAACTTTGCACGAAATATAAACTTTCGACTCTTACGATCGATTTAATATCTTAACTTCGTTGTCACTAACATAACGTCGTTACTGTAATTTGAATTGAATGTTGAATAGCGTATAAAAAATATTTTACACGCCATTCGTTTTTCTAGCCCCTGTTAAATGTTTTAAACGATTCTATTTTTGTGCTTTACTCTAGTTTTTTAGAACAGAATCGAGAATATTTTTAGGACTAAAATGCCGGTCGAAACACTTTCTTTTACAACTAAGAATTGTATTCTGCTATATAATAATAACCGATTTATAGTCTTTTCTGTTTCGTTTGTCCTGCGATCTATACTAATCATACTGATATGGAAATTTTAGCTCAGCTGTTCTCATGGTTGAACTAACGAAAGGTCAAAAAAAATTCGTTCGCTCGGAATAAACATTGCGACACTTCTTTCCAATAAGATCGATTTTATCGCCTATTCGCGTTTTATATATCTATTAATTCTTGTACAAATTGAATTTAATTTTAATTTCGCTAGTTATCTTATCATAATCCGCAGGCATCTTACAGATATGTTACACACAAGCGTACACGACTTTCCATGCATTTACAAGCATGTTTATTGGCCTTGCGCGTTCAAAAATAACCTTAAAATTGACTAAACATTTGTTTTTTACGAATGTACCCGATTTCACGTTTCAGTTGTGATCCAATGACTGAAGCTCGCCCGTTTAAAACATCGAGAAATTTGTGTGATGATCACCAGCAGAAAATTATATTAAAAAAATAATTAATAGCGCTAACGATAATATGTAATTAATGGAACATGCAAAATGTCATAGTATGAATAAATAATAATAATAATCCCAAGACAAGACATATAACGATTTGCAATATTTATCATACAATATTAAAAAAATAATTAATAGCGTTAACGATAATATGTAATTAATGAAATATAGAAAATGTTATAGTATGAATAAATAATAATAATAATCCCAAGAGACGAGACATATAACGATTTGCAATATTTATCATACAATATTAAGAGAATTATATTTAAAAATTAATTAATAGCGTTGACGATAATATGTAATTAATGGAATATAGAAAATGTCATAGTATGAATAAATAATAATAATAATCCCAAACGACAAGACATATAACGATTTGTAATATTTATCATACAATACTTAAAGATAGTTATATTTATGATAAGATTTAAACGCTCATACTCTGAATACAATCTTAATTAATACTCTCCGTTCTAATGTAGCGAGTATAAATCGCGTGAAAGTGCGTTAGTGTGTCAACCAATTATCCTTAACTGACATCAATGGACTGAACGTTCGGTTTATTGAACACGAGGGTCGAGTAACGTGATTAAAGTCGACGATACACGTAACAACACGTTAACATGGACAAAAATGCTTCCACGATTAAACTATAACATTTGATATCTGATTTCTATGATAATGATCGGTGACAAATATTTTAACATTAGATATGCTTTTTACATTTTTCGTATTGAAACTTTTTTTCGTAGTAAGTATATGATTATTTCATTAATTACACATTAATGGAACTGTTCCTGTTCGAGCAACCGGTAGGTTGATAGAAAAGTCTCGAGAACACGTATAAATATATTTATAAAGTTTAATTGTTTGACCATGATAAAAATTTAATTTACAAGTAAAATTCACAAAAATTGACTCCTTTATTGATTCTGTAAAGGAAATACGACCTCGTGGAAAAGATGCCTAACTGGATTTTTATCGGAAGAACCGAAAAAGCCGGTAGTCGCAACGGAAATACCGGGTCCCCAATCACGTAATTTGTTACGAGACCTCAATACGATGCAAGTACGTTAAGATTATCAATGTGTCGAATTGCTCTCAATTCAAATTATTATTACAGTTTATATAACAATCAGAGTTTATCGCTTAATTCACATTGAATACATACTTGTTAATCGTAACTTATAGTTACTTCTGTTTAAAAATCTTTTATACCGGGAAACTATTTTACTCGTTTTATAAATAAAATGTATCGCTCTCGTTATAATTATACCAAAAATCGAAAATATACAGTGTTCGGCCACCCCTGGGAAAACTTTTAATGAGGGATTCTAAAAAAATCAAGAATACCAATTTTTTAATGGAGGCTTCATTAAAAAGTTATTAACAATTAAATTCAAAAATTTCAAATCGTTCTGGAAAAATTATTTTCGGTTGCGGGGGTCAATTACAATCATTTTTGGTCAATAGACATACCCCCGAAATCCTACGGACTTTCGAAAAAAAAATTCCGATAGGTAGACAAATTTTTCTACGAAATTAAAAAATTTCAAATCGTTCTAAAAAAATTATTTTTAGTTGCAGGCGGCAATTACAATCATTTTTGGTCAATAGACATAACCCCGAAATCCTACGCACTTGCGAGAAAAAAATTCAGGAAGATGGATAAATTTTTGGACGAAACTAAAAAATTTCAAATCGTTCTGGAAAAATTATTTTCGGTTGCGGGGGTCAATTACAATCATTTTTGGTGAATAGACATACCCCCGAAATCCTGCGCATTTTCGGGGAAAAAATTCAATACTGGCGGGACTTCAAACGTTAATAACTTTTTCACAAAGCCTCCATCAACAAATTGGTATTCTTGATTTTCGTCTTATTTTGGCCTCTAGAATCCCCCATTAAAATTTTTCCTAAGGGTAGCCGAACACGCATATCTGTTTCTTAACGCTATGTCTACCAAAAGTGTCGAAAAGTACCTCTTAAAATTTTAACTTAAAATTATTTTCATATCAAAGATAACATAATTCGCATTAACAATTATTTCCATCCAAATGCAAAGATATCGAAAGATGCTTTTTGGTCGAAATAGGTATGCATAAAACCGCGATAGAAACAGTGTTAAACATGAACATATTCTATAATGTTTCATTTAATTTTATTTATAATGCCAACGAGTTAAAATAAACGTATCTAATAAATTATCTACTCGTACAAAAGTACTTGTACTCGCTTATTATCGAGAGAATCTACAGGAATTTTTGTGAGCAAGATTATCATAATTAAATAAAATTAGAGTCACGTTCGTTTTACAAATCTTGATTTCTTCTAAATACATGTTGAAATTCCATGACTTTAGCAAGCCTCTTCTGTACAATTCTTCGCGGATTACGAAAAATCAACGGGTAACTACATAATGGACGTCGATGGCAATGCTTTGCTCGATGTTTATATGCAAATTTCATCGATGCCTTTGGGCTACAACCACCCAGCTATGTTGAGAGTCCTCGCTGATCCTGTTAATCAGGTAAGCAAAAAATATATTATAAATTTTCTTATACAAGGTATCCGCCAAACTACGAGAACTTAAGCCAGACGTTAAAAGAAGAAAGAAATGTCATATAAAGTTTATGAATAAACGCTTTGTTTAGAGTTGGTTAAACAAAGAATTAATAACGCAGTTATTGAAATTCAGCAACATACTGAGGAACTTCGTAGAGTAATAAATTGTTTATTTATATAAAGCTTGCACCCAAGCAGGGCATATTTTTCAACATAGTTTGCAATTTTTTTCTATTATTTATTCTACATTTTTTTCTAACTCTAAAACAAAACATTTATTCATTTTATATAACGTTTCTTTCTCTGTAGATATGTAAATCTTTTTTCTAAAACATTTCTTTGAAACATTACTATTTGCAAAGATAATCGCGTGGGTCTATTAAAATAAATTGCCCTGCATATACATATAGTTTATTGTTATTATATAGAAAAAAAAACAAAATATGTTAATAACACATAATATATAAATAATAGCAATAATTGATGATACAGAACATAATAAAATGTCATAACTGCTTTAACAGAGAATCATAGCAAACAGACCTGCATTAGGTGTCTTCCCTGGAAAGGATTGGCCACATAGGCTTAAAAAAATTTTACTCCAAAAAGGAGTAAGTAACTTAAATTATACGTGTACTGGTTTTTAAAAATCTGTCCAACCTGCCAGAAACGCGTGGGAGTTATTTCTTATCAGCTTGCGTATGCAACCGTTTCTTATCAATAAAAAGTTGAAACGCGCCTACACATTTGTAGCAGTATATGGATAAGCTTATTTAAAACCAGTCTATTTACACTTATTTAATCTTTAAGTATTAATAAAACGCTTTCCGTAATATTATAATCTAATACATGTACACAGGTTGCTCCACCGGGATTATCTTGTATAACGACCATGATGTGCGGCTCTTGCTCCAACGAGAATGCTTTTAAAAATATTTTTATTTGGTACGCCGACTGTCAAAGGAAAGGTTCACCGTTTACAAAAGATGAAATGGAATCATGCATGATGAATCAAGTTCCTGGCGCGCCAAAATTCTCCATACTTTCATTCAAAGGTAATTACAGTCAATGAATGAAACAAAAAAGTAAACTGTATGTACAGGGTGGGTCAGAAGTCGCGAATCGATTTAAAATGAGAATAATTTAAAAAATATTTGACTTAAAATTTATTTCTTTTCAAAATAATAAAATATAAATCATGGAGATTTTTTTAAGCTAAGTATGAAAGATCATGTCACGTAGGTGCTCGCCATTTTTGGTTTCACAAAGTTAAGCTCTTTTAAGAACATTTTCCATGACATTTGTGAGAGTATCTGGCATTAAGTTCCGTATTTCGATTCGAATGTTTTCTTTCGACTGTTCAAGGGTCCTTGGCTTATTAGCGTACACCTTCTCTTTAAGGTATCCCCAAAGGAGAAAATCCGGAACTTCATGCTTCATGTTCATGATCTGTTAGCTTCAATTCTTGAACTAATTCCACTTTGTACGGAAACATCAGTAAATCTTCTCCTAATATCCTTCTCAATGATCTCGTAGAGAGTCCTAATTCAGCAGAACGCCTTTGTGTCGATGTTCTAGGATTTTCCTGAATACTCTGCTGAACAAGTTTGCTATTCAAATTGTTTCTGATAGAAGGTGGTCTCCCGGACCTTGGAATCAGTAAATCTTCATTTCATATCCTTTTCAATGATCTCATAGAGAGTCCTAATTCAGCAGAATGCCTTCGTCTCGATGTTCCTGGATTTTCCTAAATACTCTGCTGAACACGTTCACTATTCAAATTGTTTCTGACAGAAGGTCGTCTCCTGGACCTTGGAAGGCCACATACCTCACCATGCTGCTGAAAACGTTGCACCAAACGTTAAATCATTGATTTAGAAGGTGGATTTCACACATTAAAATGACAACGATGAGCTCTTTGAGTCAGTGTCACTGAGCGATGATTTTCGAAATAAAACTCAATAATTTTGGTATGTTGAATAACGCTGTACATCTCTTAGGTATATTTTAAAAATTCTGCAAAGAAAAAAAAGAAAAAAATATAAATTAAAGGAATTACGAATTTTTTCAATCGCTTCGCGACTTTTGTCCCACCCTGTACATTCCCTGTGAACACGATACATTAAATAAATTTAAAGTGTAACAATAATATTGACAATAGGCGCATTTCATGGAAGAACATTGGGATCCCTCTCGACCACCCATAGCAAATACATTCACAAAATAGACATTCCGGCCTTTGATTGGCCCGTTGCGTCATTTCCTGTATACAAATATCCGTTGAACGAACATACTCGAGAGAATCAGAAAGAAGATCAACGTTGTCTAGCTGAAGTATGTGTAACTCGACTTATCCTCTGTATTGTATCTCGTATTGTCATGTAAATTACAGAATATTGCTTTGTAATATTGTTCCATTAGATTGAAGAATTATTTGAGAAATATAAAACTGAGAAGAAAATTCCGGTCGCCGGTGTAATAGTGGAACCAATTCAAGCCGAAGGAGGTGACAATCATGCATCTCCAGAATTTTTTCAAGAATTGAGGCGCATAACGAAAAAGGTAATGGTCCTGTAATGTAAAAGGGATTTTAAAACATTGCAGTTACATGTACTCCAAAAGTCATTATGTACGTGTCTTTTAAAATGTTAGGATATTATAATTTTCAACGTTACATGATGTCTATTAACATGTTAGCACGGAGCAGCTTTATTAATCGACGAAGTACAAACTGGCGGCGGTCCAACAGGAAAAATGTGGTGTCACGAACATTTCAATTTAGAATCACCGCCAGACGTAGTGACTTTCAGTAAGAAAATGCAGCTGGGTGGTTATTACCACGTTGAATCTTTAAAGTAAATTATTTAAACGGTTGATTATACGAAAGCGTATGATTTACGACCAATGTACCAAGCATGCATGTATCGTTACAGACCTAAACAATCGTACCGTGTATTTAACACTTGGATGGGAGATCCTAGTAAAATAATACTACTCGAAGCAATTTTAGAAACGATACGGAACGAAAGTCTATTGGATAGAGTTACACGCGTTGGTGATTACACGTTGAAACAACTAAAGACTTTACAGAACGAATTTTCTACTATGATCAATTCGGCTCGTGGTCGTGGAACGTTCATTGCATTTAATTGTGCCTCGCCTGAACTTCGAGACGCAATAATAAAGAAACTCTTGACCAAAGGTAGTATAAAATTTTTTAATCACATACTCTTGTTAAGCCACGCTATTTTATAAAATGTAACACAAAAATCTGTTGCGACATTAGGTATCCAAACCGGTGGCTGTGGATCTACAGCGGTAAGATTAAGGCCCGCATTGACGTTTACAGAACAACACGCGGACATATTTTTAGACGCACTCAGATCAACCTTAAAGGAATAATGGCATGTGTATGTATATTACCTTATAAAGTACGTTCCTCATGGCATTTCAAATCAAAAGTCTTCCACTAAAAAGAGTCTTCCATTAAAACTTATTTTTGTATAGTACGTTTATTGTATCACAGAATAAGTCGGCGTACATAATAATTAAACTATTAATACTATTTATATTTATGTAAAAAAATTTGTCAATATTTTGTAGTATGTTTCACTACATTTTTAAAAACACCATAAGAAACTGACACTCTGTAACAAATTGATCAGGCTCATACAAATTGTTCTTATTTCGTTATCTTATGTACATCATATATCCGGCTGCAGTTAAATGAAATTCAATGTATTTACAATGAATTTATCTTGAAAGAAAGCTACCATCGAGAAACCTTTAAACCGTGAGTCGATGTTTTATACTTCCTTTCCATCAAAATAGATAGAACTTCAATCTTTATTCATTCATTTGTTATATTTTATTCACAAGTTTATTTCGACATCTTTTTCAAAATATCCGAGAAATGTTCATACTCCTTATGATGACTCTTTAGTACCATATATGCTATAGTTTTCATCTGCAAAGTGAACAAAAATTCCATTCCATTCGTAAACCATTAACTTATAAAAACTGTTATTCCTTTTTTACCTTCACTTTGGAATCTATTAAATCATGCCGGTGAGAAAAATTCCATAAATTCACAGCCATCTGCGCCAACGACGGATCACGTAACTCAGCTCTAATAACGAAGCAATTAAAAAGCTCAAGCGCAAGAGCTGCCTGCTTCTCGCGTTGCCCGTTGTAACTCATATTCTGTATATGTAACAAGATGTTTTCTACTATTTCTGCACACACTTTGTTCACCACGGTTATAAATGTTAGATCGGATCCGTACAATTTATCGTTAGAATCAATCTGCGTATGTAAAGAAAATCATAATACGTTATTGCACATTCTCTTATCTCAATTCCTATTTGAAATACCTTATCAACGTGGTACGGATAATTTTCCTGAGTTAGCGCTGACAATAAATCGAGCGCACGTAAATCCAAATACGACTTCAATAATGGATTTTCCACGAAACAACGCGCAACAGTATCAAGGAAACATCTCATCAAATATAGAAAACCATTTTGAGGATTATCCTAATAAGATTATCACAGTTTTTTTTTTAGCAATACTTTGTTCTCTGTACCAACTATTTCTATGTAAAAAATGCTTGGATAGAAAATTGTATGTAAGTACATACCGGTACAACCAATAAGGTTGATAAAAAATTGGACAAATATGAAAGTAAATATGCTTCCGAGCTTTTTTGCCTTCCATCTATATCTATTGTTTTTGGCATTTCTGGAACTAAGCTTAAGGCAGCCTTAAAACATGCATCGGCTAACAAAAGATATTTTCTTTAGTTCTAATTATAAAATAAATACTCTGCATACAAGAACGTGAATAGTTACCTTGACCTAAACACTGATTTAAAAGTGCAACTTGACCTGACAGTAAATACAATTGAAGTCGTGTATAAACTAACGTCAGTGATGGAATGGTAATAAAACAAAACGCAGCACAGGCACGTACAAATGCTGACGTTCTTCTCGTGTGATGTCCACGAACGATCTTTCTAGTATCGACTGCTAATCTATTTACACACTAAACAGGAAAGAAAACATGATCTATAGTTCTGTAACAAAATTATAATCACATATTAGAAATAGATTATTATTTAACCCCTTGCACTACTCTGAAATTCGGAAGCCATGCCTAACCCATACGCCCGAATGATCGGAACGAGCCCTAATATCGGAACTTGAAACACGATATGTCGATCGACGGAATATCGATATTTACAAGTTCGACTCGTGATATTCATGTTTTGACAAAATGTCGATTACGAGTCAGACTCGTGTTATTCACGTTTGACGTGAAATTGAACAACGAGCCTAACTCGTGATATTCAAGTTTGGCCTAAAATTTTCATCGCGAGTCAGACTCGTGAAAGTAGTGCAAAAGGGTTAATTACCTGTACAAGTTGTATATGAACGCTGTCGAGATTAGGGAAAGCTGCTCTGGCTTCCACGTAAAAATTAAGTTGCTTTTCAAAATCACGGTCATAATCAACGCGTTGTACTAGACCACATATTAGTTGACCAATTTGTCGCTTTTCATCTTCAACGGTTAAAGCACTGAAATTATTGGCTTATTATGTGACAACAAATATATATTTATGAAACGAAAAAAAGTTACGTTTACCTAACGGAATCGTGCATTATTCTAGCAACAAACATGAGAGCATTTATAATAATAGGATCGGCGATAGAACCACCTTGAGCACTTAAACGTTCTATAATTGTTTTACAAACTTCAACCTTAATAGTTTCCTTGTGGAACAAATCGATTAAAGGTAAAAAATTATCCTGAAAAATGTTTCCTAGAATATTTTATACGTACAATTTAAAGTGAGAATAGAATATAAAATAATATACAAGTAATAATTACCATAGCGAATAGTGACTCAAAATCTTGTTTATGAACAACTACTTTTTCAATGATATTTTGTAACTGCGGATAGTAATGTTCAAAATTTTTGTTTGGATTTAGTCGATCGATTATTTTTCCGAAGAATACGTTTAGTTCGTTTACCTGTAACGCGGGAATGATTAGTAACGACTATCCTTTAAGTAAGAATAATAATTGCACTTACAGAGAAATGAATGGCAGTAAATTGAATCCATATTTCAACACAATGCATAAATTTTGTAGGATTTGTCAAATCTGTTATGTACTTCCAAGTTACATTAAGAATTGCTTGACAATCTTCTTTTGGTGGGGATTCTTGTACTAGACATTCACCTAAACTTCGGTATAAAAGATATTGAGGAAAACCTAGAAAATTATTGAAATGAAATCAAAGTAAGGAATGTTTAATTACAAATTTTAATCTGTTAGTTAATCATGGTATTATAATTACCATCATCTTCGGTTGAAATTATCAAATTTACAAACTCCATTGCGCGTGCAGCGATATATGTTGGCTTAAATGCTGTTAAGACGCTATTTAATAATAAAGAACTGAAAGAGAGAATGTAGTTCAATAGCAATTCACGTCACGAAATATACCATTATAAAATAAAATAATATAGTTACTTGTTTGGTTGTTTCTTGCATTCAGAAAGCACACCTTCCAAATTACTTTCGGAAGTTGTGGCAACTAAAATTTGCAAAATCCAATCTAAACCTGGCGAATACAGATTTAAATAAGACTGTAGTGACATGTTTTGTTTAACCAGTTCGTCTTTTACAAATGGACCAAATAATTGCTGATATGTAGAGAGGAAGTCATAAAAATTTTCTCTTACAAATTCAAAATCAGACGTTTTGTTTAAAGCTAATCCCACTCGACATAAATAACATCTGGCATATATAGCTATAAGTGGATTTCCAATTCCTCGTATCATTTGTGTTATTCGTAATAGTGCTTTATTAAATTCACTGAAAATGGAAAGCTCTTTATTAGTTATAATATAGTATAGATCGAACAATTATGACTGAATATAAGAGTTTATAAATTCGGTTAAATTCGCTTGATATGCGACAAATCCGCGTAACGCCGGCAAACGTGAAAAAAGCCAGGCGAAGGAGTAACGAAATAGAATAAGATTTATCTAAACCATTTGCTTAAACAGTAGTTTGGAAAGTATTCGCTTGATATTTCTTTCTAATTTTTACTAAAACTTAGTAAACGAAAAACGTACAAGAAAAGGAATGATGGGAGTAATGCAAATTTCTCATCTATAAAGCCATGCAAGTTTTATATAAAATATAGAGTTTGAAAGACTTTTTAAATGGTAACGTTACGTTTCATCCTACATAAATTATGAGTAAATATATTCCAATATTTTACCTTGTTGTTAAAAAACTGTAAGACTTTATTATCGCCATCTCTACATAAAGCCGTGGAACTAATTCTCTTATTGATGCAATTTTATAAAACCAGTTTCTACAAGTTTCTTTTGCATTCTCTGGTACCATATCTGGTGTAAAATTATCTGGTAAACTTGTAGGCACTTTACTTCCTGGTCTATAAATTATAGAGGCTGTATTATAGAAACAATTTAAAATAAAATAAAAGAACAATTATACAGCAAAACTAAATGGCTTATAATTCGTAATTCGACTCTAGACGTAATGCTTTGGATAGTGACCGACGTTCGGGACCGAAATTGGCCAAAATTAAAATACCCAAGTTGAAAATTATATATACTTATAATTAAAACAACGCGATACTAACTTGTAATATTCGGCCTTAACTTTTAATCTTCCATACACAAGTTTCCCAAAAATATCTAAGATGTCTGTGATAAGAACAAATTTACTGGGATAAAAAGCCATGACGGATGTATCTACTAATAATTTGGCACACTGAAATAACATAATATTAATTTGAACTTTTCTTCGGGCATAATTAATAACATAAATAGAGAAGAAAAACACCTGAATTGCTATTTTAAGTGCTTTAACTCTTTGATCAGAGTGCCATGCTTGTACAAGTTCATTATTTAATTGTTCGATTCTTGCAGCATATTGCTGTTGCGACAAATCTAACATTTGTCTAACAGATCCCTCTTCAAAATCATCTAGTTGTTCCAATCTTGTTCGTACCTTATCAACTACTCCACCAGTTGGTTGAACTTTAACAACAACTACGATAAATGTATTGACATTAATCGTAATTTCATTTAATTATTCACCTAGTATGACTTATCAAAAAGAAATAATACCTTTCTCGCCGCCCGTCAAAAAGCTAGTAACAATCGACAACTTTTCTGAAGTTGTATATTTATTTAATATCATAGTACGTCTTGCTGACCAAGGCTCGACTAATTCCTCTGCGGTATCTTTAGATTTCTTACCAGCGACTGCAATAGTGCAAGAGTAATCCCACTATAATATAAAGATTCGACTTTGTAGAATAAGAGGTATGTAATATTAAGCTTATGAATCAGACGTTTTAAACAAGTATAATTCAAAGACCTCATCTGCAGCCATCTTAGATAAAGGATCTAGTTCTTCTCTAGCAAACTGGGAAAGAGGATCTGATCCATCAAGAGAAGAATGACTTAATAATGGATCTACTAAAGAATTTCCAGAGATTGGTGTGTGAGTTGGTACTGTAGTATCAATCGAAGAGCTACTGTTCATATGCTGCAATACATTGCGTTTAACTCCGCTACGACCGTCAATTAACTGTAACCATGTAATAAACAATATAACATTAAAGTTCTATTGTTTGTATAAAGCACTAATAATATTGACAGAATAAATCGTCAAATACAAGTATTATTGCCAAAGATTTGCAAGTATGTTTTACATTGCTGGAATTATCTATAACGAAACATTATATGCAATTAAATGTTCTAAATTTTTATGTATATTATCAAATTATATTTTACCGTAATTGTAACGGGTTTCAGAGGATGATCTGTTGCTTCTTCTAAATTCATAAATCGTATTGTTTTATGGTTCACAGATTTTGCAATCCTATAAAGTGCACAAGAATTTAGAGTTTTTAAATTTTCTATTAATTACGAATACTGATAAGAAATATGTCAAATACATACCAATTTGCTTTCACCATTTTTCAGATGTATTGACTGTTCACAATACAATCGAAGAAAAAATAATATAAATTACAGTTATAGGTTATTAATATCACATATTATTATAAATCGACCAAATATATCATTTTATTGTTTCGTATTAAAAACGTCAAATCTGAAAAGTGAAAGCTTTCAATTCATGCGTACTTTTGATACAGACGAAGACAGGAACAGTCGGTGACATATAGACGAGGATAGATATAGACAAGACAAACACAGATGAAATACATAACAGATCGGATCATAGCCTAACCCAGCTTGACCACCAGACTGGTTATACAATACAACTTTCTGTCTCACGTCTAGAGGGATCTGTAGAGGCATTAGAGAATCTCTAATAGAGATTAGAGTTCTTACCAATTCCAAGTCACTTTGACCACAGACGACATATACAAGATGTTCCACTCTGGAGCTCTAGAACCCCCTTTTTAATCATTTCGATGTCACTCGCAACATTACCAACAGGCTACAGAAAGCGATCATAGCACATGGTGTAAGGTCTACTTGTATACCTTGTCTGTGCTAATACTATTAAACATAATTTTATAATCATAAAGAGCACCAAGAAATTCATCAAAGTAGTACTACTCCAAAAATGATAGTTCACAGAAACTGTGATGCAGTTTAAAGGCCATATTTAATGATTTTATATTTCCAATTAAATTAATCGATCGATGTCTAATCACACTTTCTCTTGTGTTCATTTGTGTAACCTGTTGGTAATGTTGCGAGTGGCACGAAAATGGTAATGGGGCTCTAGAGCCACAGAAAAATGGGCCGAAAGAATGTATTGGATGTTAGGTCTACTCGTATATCTCGTCTGTGGTGTAAGGTCTCTCGTATACTTTGTGCTTTAACGTTATCATATCAGATTAGAATAAAAATACTAGCGCTGTTATGTACAATTACGTACAAGACTAACAAAGAACAATTAAATGACATTAAATCGTGCGATGAAACAATACAATTTAAAAAAAAAATAGGAATCATAAACTTTATTTAACTCACCAAATTCGTAATACACTATGAATTTTAAGATACTTTTATAGGTTTAACCACTCTATTCTACATACCATGTAATATAAATGAACCACACAAATGTGGTCGCTAATATCCCAAATGAATTCGTTATTACGCATGAAATACACGTATTTAATAAAAGATCTACTAACAAAAACCCAATATTTAAAAAAATATACTAGTTAAACGAAGGGACTACACTGATGAAGAATGTAGGCACTTTCAAGCCATAGTCCAATAACTTACGTTCTAACGGAAGAGTGATTAAAAAACAGAATAAAGTATAACTAAAAGATTTCGCTTTACTATCAAGTATTTTGGCGCGAGAGCAAACGCGTGTCTCAAAGAAAGAGTAATGGAGCCTGGTGATTTTCCTCTTAGTTAACAAGAATCTGTTTGGTTCGTTGAACAGAGATGTTATATAGAAACTAAAATAGCCAGAAACTTTTTAACATATTAGTTCAGTCACAATTAACTCCAGTTATTGGAATCCAGTACTAGCCGTACTGAACGAGAAACAGTAAAATCGCAAGAGTCTGATTTTGCACTTGATAGAAAGAGTACGCAGTGTTTGTGTCTCTGTTTATCCAATGCAAACACGGACACTCGCAGCTTTACTGCTTTTCGCTATGTATGGCTTATACTGGAGTCGACTGTGCTCCAAGAATCTTATAAATAAGCTATACGTATGAAATAATAAACCCAATATTAGATAAAATTTGTTTAACACCTTTAATGATAAATCTATCCTAAAAGATAAATCTATCATTTTTTGCAAAACTGTAACATTATTATAGATGTAACTTGAGAAAATGCGGGTCATTTTGTAAATGAAAATGAGTGTGACCCGCGGTCATCATACACAGTGATTATATTAACTTCCGTTTTCAACAAATAAAGTTAGAGATATTTGACGTCACTGTATAAATTCACATAAAATTAATAAAAATGTGGTGCGCATTAACGAGAAATTTAGTTTTATATTAAAAGTAACACTAAGAAAAAGTATATCTAGGAAATTTTTAATTTCTTTATTTGGCCAATATGATATAAGACACACTATTTTGATTTTCCTTTTACCTGGAGCATATGTGTGTGCTAAGTTACCCTCATCTATACTTTCCTCGGTAGTTCATGCTAAGACTGTATTGTTAAATTTCTCGCAGTAATACGTAAAAATTAGAAATTAATACATAAATCACGGAATGTCAACCATGGATGACGTTCTCGAGAGCTGGGAAGAAATTGAAGAATCAGGGGTAAGTTATTGTTTTAGTATATTTTAGGTAGTGTTATTTAAAGTGGAGTTAATAATGGAGTAATTGTGTTAACCTGTAACACGAAGGAAGTTTTTAAAGTGTTAATTTTTGCGGGTATCGTAAACTCTAAAGTAAAACATTTTGTTCAATAAAATAATATTGCATACGTCTGACATAAAAAGATACTTACAGTTTCATTATTCTTAGATTCTTGTTTTACAAATGCTTATATATGGCTTATATTCTTGTATTACACTGGTAGGTATCCATATGACTATTGATAGTAGTGGTAATAAGAAAGTATGCACATTACTTTCCAAAAGGTTACCTTTCTATTACAATAAGGAAAAGGGTTATTGATTACAGAACATTGTAATATCTTTTAACTCTGAATATCATTTGTAGATGTCTTACACATTTTGTATTTTTATCTTCTATTAAATGAGCGTATACCTATAAATACATTGAATTTTTTAATTCGAAGTAGTAAATATTATATTATTAAAATGCAATGTTTTAACGTGTTTAAGGATAAAAAGAACTGACTAATTATTGGAAAATTTGGAAGAATTGAATAAAAAAATTGTGATTGAAAATTACATATATACGTCATGGTATAATTTTATTGTATTATGATAATGTAATATTAGAACTACAATCGATTTTAGGCTCTTGACAAAAAGTTGGATGCCCTCCAGTTAAATGCGGTTGAAGCATTAGAAGAAATAGAATCTTCTAGGTAAGTTCAAAAAGATTTATTTTCTTATGGTTTGTTGATATTTAAAAAAAGAATTCTAATGACTGGCAAAATAACAGAGGATAATTTACTAAATAAGAAATGAAGCAATTCGTTAAAAAACAAGGGTATGTATAAAACTTAAATTTATATTAGAACTTGAATTATTTAGAATTAAATATTATTAGAATTAATAATTAAATTGATTGGTATTTGCATAAAAATAACTTAAAAACCATTATTGATAAATCTACTAATGAATTATATATTAATATAAAGTAGTTGTTTAATATATCACACATGATATAGTTATTAGAATATTCCTGTACTACAGTATCTTGAAATTATAATGTTTCAGCTTCAAAACCAATCACAGTACAAACACAAGAATGATAATATTAGGTGATGATGGTGTGAGATCTCAATATGTACCTCCAAAACCAACTGTAAAAATATTAAAAAGACCTACAAGAGATTCACAAGGTAGTGGTGATGGGCCATTAGTGAATGGAGATAAACCAAAACAACCTATAAAGACTTTGAGACAGGTACAGTTTTAACATCTTGAAATGAACCGTATAAGAAAAAATTGTATAATAAACAATATCTATAGAGGGAACAAGAATATGCAGAAGCAAGAAAACGAATTCTGGGTGAAGAAAAAAGTCCAGAGGAAAAATTAGAACAAGAAATAAGTAGAATTCAACCAAAGTCAATAACTCCAAGTGGTAGTGGCCTACCAAGTAATGTTCTTCGTATGCCTATTGGACCAGACGGAACACGGGGGTTTAATGTACGCAGGTAGCGCGTCTTTCAGGGATCAACACTTTTCACCCATCTTTTTCCTCTTCTTCCTTCTTCTTGGCACGGGGAAGAGAGGCGGCTATGAGGCTGATGGCAGGAAACAGCTTAATGTTTCTGACCAAATACAAGCATTCTGCTCCTGTCATTTTGAACGGAGCATAGTAAGTGCTATGCCCTATAGGCAGTGCTTTACATAGACCGTACTTACAAAAGGATCAAGGCTATAAATCGGCAAAGATGAGTCACTATAGAAATGGTAATATTTCTTACCAATATGATGCTATGTTTTGTTGATGTTTGTCATATTTTAAAAAACTTTTATTAAAAAATTAGAATCTACAATCGTCGTGCAGGGAACACGTTAAGATGAATATTTGAATTACAGTATGATACGAAGTGGGAAACTATTTTACTTTCTACACTTGTATGTGCTACTCAAATCTCTGAAACAAATTGTACAATAAAAGATTTCTCTTATATCAATCTGTTATATATTTCGGCAATTCGTTTTTTCATAATAATTTTAATTTTCTGCATTTTATAAGTAAATGTATAGAAATATTACGCAATTTTTAAGTGTAAAGCTTTTCAATTTTTAAATTCATGTACATTTTAATCATATAAAAACCAATGTATTCTTAGTTTTATTGGAATGTGTTCTAACGTTTCTTTTGTTTTAGTGTTTTTAATTTTACTTTTATTTATTAAATATATGAAATAGATAAAATAGTTTCTAATAATATTTATGCAATTTTCAATTAACGGTCATTCTTTTTAATAATCGCCGAATATTTTGATGGATAAGATTTTTGGTATAATAATTTCAAATATTATCATGTAAAAAATGCAACAAACGATTTTTTTCGTCAATGAAACTGAAGATACGCAGTAGTAAGTATAAAGTATTACAAATCTTCAAAAAGCTTAGTTTCTTAAATTATGCAGATTGAAATAAAACATTAGATATATTATTACCATACATAATGTATATTCATTCATTAGGCATTATATATATATTATAACACATACAATTAATATGAAAGGAGCATTTTCAAATATTTTCTATACATTTTATTAAGCATTATTAATTTCATCTACATCTTCATCAATGTAATGATAGCTTAATTAAACGTAAAAACTCGAGAACCTGATATCGCCCCTTGGTATCAAATATGATCTTAGTCCACCAGATAAAGTCAAAAATTAGGATTAATAATGTTAAGTAATCGGTTAATTTATAATAACAGTAAATAATGTAAAATAATAAATTACAATTTGCATTATTAATTCACAATAAAAAAGTATTCTGATGGAATAGACAGCAACATTTAATGGTATGTACCAGTTTTGCATCTGTAAAAGGTTTGATAAATGTCACGAATATCTATATACATATATACATTTTTATTAACTCTAAGATTTATAAAATTATATAAATCTTATAATTATAAAATATATTTCGTATAATAACCATATTCAATTTACATCCAATATCATGAGATGACACCGGGTTCTTGACTACAGATAACCATTCCTTTGTAAACAATAAATCTATAGAGGTTTTGGTTTTTATGGTCATTCGTTAGTAAAAATTTAAAACATACTCTGTTTAAGTTAAACATAGAACGCGGGCAAACTGAATCATATGATTGCAACAGTGGTATTTGTAGAATAAATATCTCTGCGCATCTACGTTGCGCAGCTATCACCAGATTCATTAATATTAGTTCCACTACATAATATTCAAAGACGCTATGATTATGCTCAACAGAAAAATTTTAACATTGTTCTAGACATTCACAAGTCACGCCAAAGAGAATGCTTTACTCGTATTCGCTATGTCTTGAATTTAACGTAAATATCTGTTGAATGTTGGTGGGAATCGCACATGATTCTACACGTTTGAGGGAAATATGGTACGCAAAAGAAAATTCCCTTCTCGCTTCTCGACAAGCTTAAATTTCGAAGTATGTAACCTAAACACAAGTGCCTATCAAATAAGAACAATATTCTATTCTATCAAAAGCTCTGCAATATGAAAATTTTGTAGTAGATTATGATTTCAGGAAACTATTATTCTATCATTGCATTTTAAGAATAAATTACGTAGAACGGCACGCATAAGTCGCTATGATGTAACAATGCTTTGTCAATAATTTCGCAATATGTGAAGTTTAAAATAGTTAATCAATTTATGGATTGAACTGATTATTGATTAAAAGTGTTTTATTGCATTTTAAGAATAAATTTTAATACGTATGATAGAAACATGGCGAATTTTACATAATAAGAATTAACAGCAGCCACACGACATTTTAATTTTACAGTTAGAGCTAAATTTACGTGAGAGCAAACGATAAACTCTATGGAGTCAATGGGGAGCAGAACCATTGAATAATTTAAAAAATTACTAAAGAATTCATAGTTATCATATTTCGGTGTAGCATTCCATACAAACTAATAGAGTAGAGACTGATATAATTGTTAACAAGTTTTATAATTTAAAAGCAAGGAAAGTAAATTGAAAAAAAAATTATGCCTACGCTTGCCAGTAATTTGTGCAATAATATTGTTATATAACAAAATGTTATTATATTTTGTCCAATACATATTATTTTAAACCTAAAAACTCAGGTTTCATTTATTTTTAATTTGCAACATATGTTATGTGTGGGTGCCTAACCTGGAAATTGTATCGGAAGAGTCAGAACGCGAACAATGCTAGTGCTCTCCTCCATCCTCCATCCCTTATCACATTTGAAAATACCCTTCTGAAAAAATGATGTCAAATTCCGATCCACTCTCGCCCTAAAACAAAATATAAATACAAAAAAGCAAATTACAAAATTTTCGTTTAAAACTTAATTATTAATTAACTTATTCTTTAATATAATATACAATATTTAAACAATAATTGACATGGCAATGAATGTTTGCGATTCTCATTTTGTTTTTTTGATACTACAATTCTATCACATCTTTCGGCCATTTATTTTCAAAGGAAATTGGATTTAAAATTTATTTATTTATAAATAAAGTGTAGTTACTAGTTTTAAAACACTGTGGATCGCGCAGTTTTCCCAGCGAAGAAATACTGTACGAGCTGCAAGTTATGACGTAGTGTATACGTCATTATTTTTCTTATCGCTTTCAGCGCCAAATCGAAAACATAAGTGATGCTTGCAAGCGCTTAAAGCGCGTGGGCGTTCAAACTGAACGCACCCTAGGATATAAGCGTCAGGCAAAACAGGTTGATTAGGTACAGAGATGCCAGAAAAGCACCGCCGGGTGCACACGCACACATGCCAGATACGCGTACGTGAGCTCGTGGAGTTTCGGAAAGTCGACAAAGGCAAACTGACGCATGGCCTCTTTCTCGATTCTCCGAAGCTGCCCGAAGTAATTTCAGATCGCCTCGTGGGAGTCGAGAGAGAAAGGCTCACATTTGCCTTCTCGCTCTAAACAACTGAAATCCGACCTCCCGTCAACGGCATACGATTTAGATTCTCGAGCCGAGATTCTCGACTGCCCAGGCATTTTTACTTTCCGACCTATGTAGGCGCACATAAGCAAAGTACCCATAATGAAAAAAAAATTTTGTAAAATTTATTTTACGGAAATACACGTTTTAAGACCTCCTGATCATATTTTAATTATTGAAAAAAAAGAAATTTTTTTTATTAGTCCCATGTATGAGCGTGCATATGTTGTTGGATCCCGGGTTGCGGGATTAAGAACAACACTTTACTAGAGAGACTGGTGGTTTTATTCGATCGTTACGGCAAGTTCCGCACGTTAGTACAAACTACAGAGATCTGACTTGAGTCCAAAAATGTGCGTCGTTTATATACAGGGTGAGGCATTTTAAACAGGTCACCTGAATAACTCGCTTGTTTTTGAAGATAGGAGAAAATGCATTAGACCAAACTTATTTGGTATCGGGGGGCTCATAATCTGGTATTACCAATTTTTTTGTAGGTGGAGGCGTCAAGGAGATATGAAGGTCAACTTTGTTTTTTTAAATGGAACAGTATATTTTATTACTTACATTCTGATAGAGTGTTTCAAGGCGAATACAATGACCTATTATTAAGGTCATTCAAGGTCACCCAAAGTGAACTGCAATAGAAAATAAATTGTCTCAAAGCACTCTTCGAACACTTGGATACTTTGATACTGCTATTACAAGTGTTCAAAATGGCGACCTTGAACATGGATACATAGTCTAAATCGTTGCAATACTGATGACACTGCCTGGCAAATTTCATTTGTATCTATTACAGAGCAAGCTCTTCTTATACGTTCTTGCATGTCAAGTTTGGTAGTTGGTTTTTCGCGGTACACTTCTGCCTTTAATTTTCCCCACAAATAAAAATCGAGAGGTGTCAGGTCTGGGGATCGTGCCGGCCATTTGTTACTTCCTGATCGACCTACCCAAGAATCTCCAAATTTTCTATTTAGAAATTCTGTAACATTGCGTGCTGAATGAGCAGGGCATCCGTCTTGCTGGAACCACATGGATTGTCGTATGTCCAGTGAAGTGTCTTCTAACAATTCTGGCAAAACGTCTTCTAAGATTCTCAGGTACTTACTACTATTTAGCGTGCCATCAATAAAATATGGACCAATTATTTTATTATGAAGAAGACCGCACCAGACGTTTACAGACCAAGGTCTCTGTTTGTCGACTTCTCTCAACCATCGTGGATTATCTACCGACCAGTAGTGCATGTTGTGACGGTTAATTGCTCCATGGTTTGTAAATGTGGCCTCATCGGTAAATAACAATTTACTCAAGAACATTTCATCGTCTTGTAGTTTTTGTAAGCCCCATTCACAAAATTGTAAACGTTTTGTATAATCATTTTCAGTTAATTGTTGATGAAGTGATATGTGGAACGGATGAAATTTGTTAATGTGTAATATTCGTAAAATACTTCGTTGACTGATGCCACTTTCGCGTTCCAGTTGTCTTGTACTAACATGTGGATCTTGTATTACAGCTGCTACAATATTTATCGAGTTTCCATCATCAGTTGCTCGTTTGGCAAGATTACGTGTTTTGTTATCCACAGTTCCAGTTTCTTGGAACTTTTTTATAATGTTTGTAAAGACAGAAAGTGAAGGTCTATTATTACGATCGGGAAATCTTTCACTATACACACGTACCGCTTCCCTCATAATTCTATGACATTCACCATAAATAAGAACCATTTCTACTTTCTCTGCTATCGTGTAACGCATTTTAGAAAACTAAACACTTAGACTGAATAAATGTTACGAAGCTGTGCTCTAGTCGGTAGTAAAATTACCAATAATGTTTGAGGATACGGATAAGCGTACAATGTGATTGAATGTTTGTTTATCTTTTGTGACCCGTGTCACGCAATACACACACGTGATACACAAGTATTCGAAATGTACTCTGACACAATTTATTTTCTATTGCAGTTGACTTTGGGTGACCTTGAATGACCTTAATAATAGGTCATTGTATTCGCCTTGAAACACTCTATCAGAATGTAAGTAATAAAATATACTGTTCCATTTAAAAAAACAAAGTTGACCTTCATATCTCCTTGACGCCTCCACCTACAAAAAAATTGGTAATACCAGATTATGAGCCCCCCGATACCAAATAAGTTTGGTCTAATGCATTTTCTCCTATCTTCAAAAACAAGCGAGTTATTCAGGTGACCTGTTTAAAATGCCTCACCCTGTATTTGAGGGTGACAATGGTGGCGTACGGAATGAGTAACCGGGTACAGGATGAGTAAGCGGGTACAGGAGGCTAGAAAGGCTGGAGTTTGAAACCTATGACTGGGATGTTTGTGTAAGGATGATTCTAGTGCGGTATCTATGTTGGCTTATGAGTTAGTCATACAACAATGTACATATATTATTAATACGATTTTTCAAAATCAAAATACTTTAGATTGAAAATTAATAAATTAAAATGAGATTCTACTCTTTACCAGTATTGTGCACGCTGTGGTATTTTTCAATAAGAAGAGTTCTTACTTTTATAACATAAACAAAACAGTAGAATTAATAATTGCAGAAATTAATTAATAATGATTTTCCTCGATTGTTTTGAGATAACCGTATCAATTTGTTATGACAAACTAAATAGAACTAACTAGAAACAAAGGAAAAGTGATCCCGTTTGCCAGTTTAATACAAAGTATGGGTTGCATCTTAAATTTTAAAAGGACATAGTCGAATATTTTTAAAGGTACAAAACATAGCGTTTCATTGTAGAACAGTAACATGAGTTAGCAGGTAATGTCATAAAACTGTTTTTCTCAGCTATATCCCTTTTTACCTGAAGTATAAGGTAAAAAGTACGAGCTACAAGGTACGACTATCCGAAAATCGTTCACATTTTATCAATGTAAATGAAGCGGCCTTTCCATCAGAGTTAGATACAAAATTTTGTTATTTCTGTGAAAACAGAACTTTCATTAGATGTAGGTGGTGCTTGAAATTGTTATGTTTTCACTGTTTTTACGAAAAGTACCATCCAGATTCATGTACTTCGTACATTGAAAATAACATATGTTAAATTCAATTTAAAAAAAAAAATATTCGAAGGTCAGACAAAAATATAATGTCACATTTAGTGTACGATTAAAATATGATTGAAAAAATAAAAAAAAGGATTTGTTTTGGCAGGGTTTGAACCTGCAGAGCAGAAGAAGCTCGGAACTTGCAGGCAAATACCTTGTCATTCACGCCACGCTGGTTGTTGAATGTATTTCTATTTCTGAAGATAAGTATCTGTAATAACTTTATTAATATTTCAAAGTAAAACCTAACCCAAAATCGGGTACCATTCCAACTTTTCCTTGTTAGAACCGAGTTTTCAATTTGTCTTAGCGAAAATCGTAATCACATTTTGCACATTATTCTAAAACATTTGTGGTATTCGTTTTCAATGCGATTTAAGTAAGCATGTAATGTATAAGATTTCATTTAATTTTTTCTTTTCTAGAGAAGATAGAGAAAAAGTTTATATAATTTTTTTTATATGTAAGGCGTCGGGAAAAGGCGAGGCCCAAGCCGAGGCGCTGGCAAGGGACCGCGTCTGGCCTTCGTCCGTCAACACTCCCACCCCTACCGATGGGGGAGAAGGCTGACGACAAAGGCGTGGGTCTAGGCCCAGGACGGGCTCATTTGTTTTTCCGACGCTGAAAGAACGGGAATAAAGCATGTATACGAATACCCTACGTATTTCTTAATTCCTAATTCCATTCTACGCGTCTGTATAACATATATAAAATTTAATTCGTCCTAAGATTTATATGAAACATTTAAAAGATTTTTTATACATTATGCCTATACATATATCGGAACAACTATGAAACAAGAGGTATAATCATTATTATCCATGGACTGATTATAGTCAAAGTCTAACCGGACTTTGAAATGAGAACATAAAACTTAAATGTAAAGTTTCATTTAAATTCATTTAGCTATTTATACTCAATCGTAATAATAATATACATATGTGTGCTCATACATGGGAATAAAAAAATTTCTTTTTTTTCAATAATTAAAATATGATCAGGAGGTCTTAAAACGTGTATTTCCGTAAAATAAATTTTACAAAATTTTTTTTTCATTATGGGTACTTTGCTTATGTGCGCCTACATAGGTCGGAAAGTAAAAATGCCTGGGCAGTCGAGAATCTCGGCTCGAGAATCCAAATCGTATGCCGTTGACGGGAGGTCGGATTTCAGTTGTTTAGAGCGAGAAGGCAAATGTGAGCCTTTCTCTCTCGACTCCCACGAGGCGATCCGAAATTACTTCGGGCAGCTTCGGAGAATCGAGAAAGAGGGCATGCGTCAGTTTGCCTTTGTCGACTTTCCGAAACTCCACGAGCTCACGTACGCGTATCTGGCATGTGTGCGTGTGCACCCGGCGGTGCTTTTCTGGCATCTCTGATTAGGTAGTTGGCAGTGTTACCAGATCGGGCACTGGGTACACCAGGAACTCCTCATTCCACTTTCGCACACTACGTCTAATCTTGTATACGTAAGCTTGTAGAGTTTCAAAGAGTCGAGAAAGACAAACTGATACTCACCCCCTTTTCCACTTCTCCGAACCTGCCCGAAGTGAACGCAGATGCACTTCTCATCGTCTTGAAGGAGTCAAAGAGAAAGGTTCACATTCATTTTCCTTCTTGCTCTCGATAGTGCTAAAATCCGACCCCGCGTCAACGGCATACTTGAACGGAGACTTGAACTCGAAATCGTATTTGCATACCGATTGTCGCGAGGACGGATTTCGGATTTCAACTGTTGCAAGAGTGAGAAGGAGAGGCACACTCGCCTTCTTTCTCGATTCTCCGAAGTATCGAGCTCACGTTCACGCGGTTCACGCGACTTGTGCAGTAGTATGTGCCTGCTTTCCCCACCACTCCGCTGAGCACTAAAAGAAATTCGTCGTTACTAGTGTCGCTGTCGATGCTCCCAATATGCCAAATCTGGCCACACTGCCCGGTGACCGGTGTCCGATCCAGTGTGGCCAGATCTGGCATAATTGAGTGCATCGACGTCGACATTAGTAACGATGAACTTCCTTAGCGTCTAACGGAGTGGTGGGGATAGCAGGCATATACATACTACCGCTCGAGCCACGCATGCGTGAGCTCGACACTTCGCGCAGCTTCGGGAAAACGATAAAGAACGCTAGCGTGAGCCTTTCCTTCTTGCTCTTGTAACAACTGAAATACGATCTCGCGATAATCGGCATACGATTCCAAGTCTCGACTGCTCCAGCATTTTTACTTTCCGACCTATGCAAGGTGAAAGGAAAGTACCATAACGAAGAAAAATTTCGAAAACTTTTTTTAGCGAAAATACACGTTTTAAGACCCACTGATCATATTGTGACTGTTAAAAAAAGAAATTTTTTTCTGTGCCTAAACGACTGAATGTATTTCAATGAAACTTTACATTTATGTTTTATATTCCCGTTTCAATGTCTGATTAAATTTTGAGCGTGATCAGCTCCCGGATAGTGATGATTATACGTGTTATAGTTTTATAATTACGATCTAAATAGGAGAATTAATTGCTACAGAAATAGATTAATCCTGACTTTTTCCGCTATGTTTTTCAATAACCGTATCAATTTGTTACACAGAATCAAATGTTATACAGGATGTACGGCCGCCCCTGGGAAAAATTTTAATGTGAGATTCTAAAGGCCAAAATAATACGAAAATCAAGAATATCAATTTTTTGATTGAGGCTCCGTTATAAAGTTATTAAAAAATTTCAAATCATTCTGATAAAATTATTTTTAGTTGCGGTGGTCAGTTACAATCATTTTTGGTAAATACACATAACCCTGAAAACCTACGCACTTTCGAGAAAAAAATTTCTGACCGAAAATCTAACGCGAGACCAGAAATGCACCCCCGAAATTTCATGCGAATCTTTAAAATGTCGTCACTTCTAAACGGATTGGGGGATTTTAATGTTTCAAACGGCAAAGAACGCGTATTTTGGTGAAGAATATGTAGAAATTCTAAAAATATTGGAAAAGTTGTTCCTTAACCCCGTAAAGTGATAAAAATTGTCCAATTTTCAAACGGCCATAACTCCTACAATACTGAATGGATTTGATTGAAATTGTTTTCTGAAGTAGAACTCATAGGTGTCTACAAAAAAGTATTAGACAACTTTTTCTGTTTAGTGCTAACCAAATTTATTAAAAATGAAAAACGAATTTGTAAGAAAAATCGACAGGAGGCAGGTGCCTAAATTTTTTGACGAAAAAAAAAATTTGAAATCGTTTTGGAAAAATTATTATTAGTTACGGGGGTCGATTACAATAATTTTTGGTGAACAAATATACCCTCGAAATTCTACGCACTTTCGAGAAAAAAATTCGAGTAGGTCGAAAAATTTTTCAAGAAAATTAAAATATTTCACATCATTCTGGAAAAATTATTATTAGTTCCGGGGGTCGATTACAATCATTTTTGGTGAACAGATATACCCCCGAAATCCTACGCATTTTCGAGAAAAAAATTCAGAAAGAGGCCTAAATTTTTCGACGAAAAAAGAATTTCTTTTTTTTTTAATAGTCACAATATGATGAGGGGGTTTTAAAACGTGTATTTCCTACAAAAAAAGTTGTGTATTCCTACAAAATAATTTTTTCCAGAATGATTTGAAATATTTTAATTTTCTCGAAACATTTTTCGACCTACTCAAATTTTGTTTTCGAAAGTGCGTAGGATTTCGAGGGTATGTCTAATGACTAAAAATAATTGTAATTAACTCCCACAATCGAAAATAAGTTTTTCAGAACGATTTGAAATTTTTTTTTTCGCCGAATTTAAGCACCCTGTCGATTTTTCTTACAAATTCGTTTTTCATTTTTAATAAATTTGGTTAGCACTAAACAGAAAAAGTTGTCTAATACTTTTTTGTAGATACCTATGAGCTCTACTTCAGAAAACAATTTCAATCAAATCCATTCACTATTGTAGGAGTTATGGCCGTTTGAAAATTGGACCATTTTTATCACTTTACGGGGTTAAGGAACAACTTTTCCAATATTTTTAGAATTTCTACATATTCTTCACCAAAATACGCGTTCTTTGCCGTTCGAAACATTAAAATCCCCCAATCCGTTTAGAAGTGACGACATTTTAAAGATTCGCATGAAATTTCGGGGGTGCATTTCTGGTCTCGCGTTAGATTTTCGGTCAGAAATTTTTTTCTCGAAAGTGCGTAGGTTTTCAGGGTTATGTTTATTTACCAAAAATGATTGTAACTGACAACCGCAATTAAAAATAATTTTATCAGAATGATTTGAAATTTTTTAATAACTTTATAACGGAGCCTCAATCAAAAAATTGATATTCTTGATTTTCGTATTATTTTGGCCTTTAGAATCTCACATTAAAATTTTTCCCAGGGGCGGCCGTACATCCTGTATAACATTTGATTCTGTGTAACAAATTGATACGGTTATTGAAAAACATCGCGGAAAAAGTCAGGATTAATCTATTTCTGTAGCAATTAATTCTCCTATTTAGATCGTAATTATAAAACTATAACACATATAATCATCACTATCCGGGAGCTGATCACGCTCAAAATTTAATCAGACATTGAAACGGGAACATAAAACATAAATGTAAAGTTTCATTGAAATACATTCAGTCGTTTAGGCACAGAAAAAAAATTTCTTTTTTTTAACAGTCACAATATGATCAGTGGGTCTTAAAACGTGTATTTTCGCTAAAAAAAGTTTTCGAAATTTTTCTTCGTTATGGTACTTTCCTTTCACCTTGCATAGGTCGGAAAGTAAAAATGCTGGGGCAGTCAAGACTTGGAATCGTATGCCGATTATCGCGAGATCGTATTTCAGTTGTTACAAGAGCAAGAAGGAAAGGCTCACGCTAGCGTTCTTTATCGTTTTCCCGAAGCTGCGCGAAGTGTCGAGCTCACGCATGCGTGGCTCGAGCGGTAGTATGTATATGCCTGCTATCCCCACCACTCCGTTAGACGCTAAGGAAGTTCATCGTTACTAATGTCGACGTCGATGCACTCAATTATGCCAGATCTGGCCACACTGCTGGTAACACTAGTAGTTGGTAGGCGTGAAACTAACATGGTGAATTGAAAACGCATATGAATGTTAGTTTGACTGCTCAGAAAAAGAGATATTTCTACTTACTCAAAATGAAGGAAATAAATTAATACGGGAATTAATAAATACGCCATATGTAAGTTTTATATTTAACGTATATTGTGAAAATATGGCAGAATCTGTTGGACCAATACTTCACGTGATTGTAGTTGGATTTCATCACAAAAAAGGATGTCAAGTAAGTTACTGTTATTATCTTATTATTCTTCTTAAAAAAGCTAATGATCATTCTTTCTCTATGAGTATGGATTTTTCACTGTACAGTTTTGACAACAATATCTCATACAAAGTATTGCCAGTGCATATATTTTAAAATTTTACAAATTGAAAATGAATTATTTTATAGCACTTATTTTTGCTACACAGCACTATATTTACTTGAATAAATTAATATATGTATGCGGTAAATATACAGGTCAAACTATTTAAATGGGAATGTCAACGTACTCTATTGCATATAAATATAAGAAAAAACTATGTGTGCAATATTATATTGTTAAGGATTAAAAATAATATTAAGAAAAAAATGTTTATAAGGTAATTTTAAGTATCGTATATTTATTTTGTTTTGACACGTCTTATTTAAAATTTTTGAATTGGAAATATACTTTATTGAAAGAGATATTCTAAAATTCCATTAACGCAACAAACAATTTCTTTATTTCCCATATAAAATACATTGTGATGTATTTATTATTCAAAAATATTTCTTTGACATAGAAACTAATTTTCTCATGAGAAATCATCTTCTATCCGCTTGTATGTTTTTCGATCGTATCCTATATAAAAAATTATATATGGCTACACTTAAAAAAATACATTTGCAATTTTGAAAAAAAGATCCTTAAGAAAATTCTGCTCATAACTATATTGTCCTTCGAGTGATTTTTCTTATATCCATACACAATAGAAAAATGTAGATATCTCATTTAAATCGTTTATCCTGTGTACACGAGATAAATACATGTAAAGTATCCTAAGATTTTCCAGTCAAGCTACCCCAATATGTTCTACAAGTAGAAATAAAGGAAAGAGTTATATAAACATAAGCTAATAAATGCTTTATTAAGTTCTAATTTGCTAATTTCATATGCAAATGTTATATGTAGTTTATCTTTTGCAATTATTTGGTCAAAGTGTTAATTAATAATGCTATAATACAAAAGTGATATAACGAATTTCAATTTTACAATATTTTTGAATACCAATCATTAATTTATTAGGTAGAATATTCATTTCCTCCCTTGGTACCTGGGGCTCCAAACGAATGTCCACCAGGCTGGAAATATTTGCCAACTCTTGCTTTACCAGATGGATCTCACAATTATGATGAAGATACAGTTTACTTCCATTTACCTAGTCTAAATGATGCAAAACGTACAATATATGGTATTTCATGTTTTAGACAAATCCCTGTTGAGGTAATTACAATTTTAATATACAGCCTTTCAATGTATAATAGTTCAATTTGTTTAAATTTATTTTGTTACATGACAATACATTTTTCGTTTTTATTGTGCATCATTTTTATCATTTCAATTGATCCATATGAGTATCTAGAAAATTCTTAATGATATCACAGAATGCTTCAAATGAAAGTTGAAGAGCTTTAAAGAGACCCATCTTTCATACCGCATTGAAACTACAGAAAATATAAAAACAATGAACTACATTTATTTATATAATCCTATACCCTGTATCTAGATCATAGCAATATTTACTTACACAGAACATATACATAGTATTTCCTCCGATTTTAATGAAACCGCAGAATTGTAGAAAAGCCATGAATAAGGAATAGATACATATTTTTTTTAACACAGATAATTCAAATTTAAAGGGGTCAAGCTAGATTTGGACGTTTAAGCTTTTTAATGCTATTTATCTTAAGAATTATCAGATATAAAAAGAAGTCAACAAATTATATAAAATTAATTAAAAACAGTAAAAAATTATTGTTAAACCATGTCATTTAACATTTAAACAATTCATTTAAACCATCATCTATCGGTTAGAAAATTTCTACGGTTCGTTTTATATTTGAATATCTAAACTGTCTCTACTTGTGAAAAGATCATGTTCATAATATAATGTTAGCCACATAACTTTTCAATTTTTGCTTAAAATATTCTGGTGATATGTACTTGCATGGTTTGATTGAAATGAAAAAGTCTGCATAATGTATATAATATGAAATAGATAAAGAAATGGCAGTATAATATATTGATTGTTTCTGTTACATTTTGAAATTTTTAATAAGTTAGAAAATTTAAATGGAAACATATTTTTAGTAAGTTATGGTTTAATACATTATAGATATTGGTCACTTGTTTTTAACTCACTCTCTGACCATGTGCTGTATATGGCATCCTGATACTTATTAAGAGGAATCTTGGACAGGATGGAAATTTGATAACTTCATGATACTCAGGATGAATCACAGTACTTCGCTTCTGTTATTTCTATCATTAAAGTAATGAGACATTTTATGAGCTATTAAGATAATTTTTAACCTTATTATACAGAGTGTTTGGCCAACCCTGGGGAAAATTTTAGTGGGAAATTCCAGAAGCCAAAATAAGACGAAAATCAAAAATACCAATTTGTTAATTGAAGCTTCGTTAAAAAGTTATTAACGTATAAAATTCCATCTGTAGAACGGCAATCTGTGAATAGTCGCGTGCATGCGATAGTGGTTTTCACTCAGCATGAAAAACAGTTTTGTGAATGAGAACCACTGTCACGTGTACGCAGTAGTTCGCAGATTGCCGTTCTACAGGTGGAACTTTAAACGTTAATAACTTTTTAACGAAGCCTCAATCAAGAAATTGGTATTCTTGATTTTCGTTTTATTTTAGCCTCTAGAATCTTCCATTAAAATTTTTCTTACGGGTCGCCGAACACTCTATAGAGGGTGTTCGGGGAAAAATTGTAGTGAGAGATTCTAGAGGCCAAAATAAGACGAAAATCAAGAATACCAATTTGTTGATTGAGGCTTCATTAAAAAGTTATTAACAATTAAATTCAAAAATTTCAAATCGTTTTGAAAAAATTATTTTCGGTTGCGGGGGTCAATTACAATCATTTTTGGTGAATAGACATACCCCCGAAATCTTGCGCATTTTGGAGAAAAAAATTCGGTACGGGCAGAACTTTAAAGTTAATAACTTTTTAAGGAAGCCTTCATTAACAAATTGGTATCTTGATTTTCGTCTTATTTTGGCCTCTAGAATTCCCCATTAAAATTTCTCCCAGGTGTGGCCGAACACCCTGTATATGACCTTGAATACGAGTATTAATTTCGGCGAAACGTAACACTCTGAATGAATGCCAGCAGTTTCTAAAGTAACTTTACATAGAATAATATGTTCTGACAATAAAAAATTTTCTACTCAAAATCATTTAAATTTCATGTTACACAATTCATTGATTTTGATTCAGTACCCATTAAAGGATAGATAAAAGAAACCGTAATGTTGTGTATATACAAATTGAAGATGGCCTTGGAAATTCACGCAAAAAGAAGTTATAAAAAATTTCTGCACCATGTCATTCCAAGTGAAAAAATATTGATCAATACAGTAACAATGAAAATAATATGAATGGTCAAGTTACGTGGTTCACTCAGTATAGAAAATTCTTTTATTGTCACTGGTTTGAGATCGAGCGGTGACACAATGAAAAAGTGGGAAGCGAAATTTACCAGCAACTTATCTTTCCTTGACACGACACTCGCTGGTGTTTCTATACATCGAGAACAAAAGTGAAAATCGTGAAGTGGGTGTTCCATGCATACACAGGACAATCCAATAATTTTAACCGCTTTAAATATTCCCGTTATTTTGTGAAATATGGAAAACATTTATTCGCAAAAGTTACATCCAACGAAGGGTACCACATCATGGTAGTAATAATATTTTTGTAGATGAAAGGGTTTCGGTAATTTCAAGGTTGATATTTAGACGATTTCAATGACAACAAAATAAAACATGAACGTTATGAACTTAACCAATTTGTGAGATCTAGGTCAATTTTATAACCATTCTTTTTAAATAAATTTTTCCGAGTCGAAGCTGCAAAATCCCGTTGTGTTGGTCATGACATAATTTTTTTGCACTATCTATACTAGTGCCTCGAATAATATTCCATAATTATCACCGTCACTTAATTTTATGAGAGAAATATTTCACAATAAATAATGGTGTACAATCACGGTACTTTTTATTTTTATAAATGTGAAGAGGTGCTCAAGTTACTATCCATTCGTAATTAACGCAACATTGAAATGTGATAAAATTAATCTATAAATGATAAGAAATGTATTGACTCACTATTAGTCGTCTGTTCGACGCACAAGAACAACTAATGTCGAAACCGTCCTCTATTTTACGGGTCTGTTTACCGCGGCGAGTGAGTCAGACTACAGGCCATAAATTTCGACCGAGACTTTGGCGGCTTTAATTGTAACGTATCATATTTCGAGAAGAGAAGACAAAGCCACTGTTCTTTTTCATTCGAACGGTTTATATGAACTAAACTCGCTCCGATTAAAATTCTCTATCATTGATTCTTTTATTCTAAACGTATAAGAGTGATTATAAAAATTATTTTGTTTTACGCTATTATGCATAATACTGACATCCTAAATTCTATTATTTATCATTCCATTATATTATTATACTTGTTTCAGAAATAAAATACGGTAGTCCCTCGATTATCCGACCTCCTGATCATAAAATAAACAGCCCATTTATTACAATAGTGGTACGTCTCGAAAAGACGCAGCTTGAAAATTTAAATTGTTTACCAACTTGCTTTATGGTCATCAATAAGTGTTACAAGTAGCCGGTGAAACAACTGTTATAAAACTGAAAAGTAAAAAAAGCTTTTTAACGATAAGAGACAAGTAAAAGTTATACACAATGTATGCGAAAATTAGTTTCTAGAACATTAATAAACTGAAGTTTTACTGAAAAATTCAATTCGATAAATATTCACGAAATTTGTTATTCAAATATACAACAAATAAGACATTATTTAATATACATAGATGATGTTTAATTTTTTAAATTGCTAGAAACATTATTGCATTTTCATATACAGGGTGTTCGGCCACCCGTGGGAAAAATTTTAATGGGGGATTCTAGAGGCCAAAATAAGACGAAAATCAAGAATACCAATTTCTTGATTGAGGCTTTGTTAAAAAGTTATTAACATTTAAAGTTCCGTCCGTACTGAATTTTCTTCTCGAAAATGCGCAGGATTTCGGGGGTATGTCTATTCACCAAAAGTGATTGTAATTGACACCCGCAACCGAAAATAATTTTTCTAGAACGATTTGAAATTTTTTTTTTCTGCCGAAAAATTTCACACCTTCTCGAATTTTTCTCTAAAAAAATCAAAAATGATTGTAATTGACCCTCGCAACCGAAAATAATTTTTCCAGATCGATTTGAAATTTTGGAATTTAATTGTTAATAACTTTTTAACGGAGCCTCCATCAACAAATTGGTATTCTTGATTTTCGTCTTATTTTGGCCTCTAGAATCCCTCATTAAAATTTTTCCCAGGGGTGGCCGAACATCCTGTATTTGTTTAAGTATTAAAATAGATCACTCTGTGTGTTATATCATTCGAAGACTTGTTAATTTAAAGATTACTCTTCGTTCAAGTACCAGGTGCCGAATAAAATGTTATTTTTCAGAAAAACAAGTGGTCAGTAATATTCGAAGATGGGGGGCGGGAGTGTCTTACAATTAGACAGCTCCTGAAACCTGATTATTTGAACCACAACTCAGGAAAAGCATGTTTTCTCTTTGGCTTCATTATTTATAAGTAATATAAAAGGATTTAATTTAATACAATAAAAAAATATATATTTTTATAATACTATGTATACAAGATATATACAAATTATGGAATTAGCGTGATATTTATTTGCAATCTTAAGGTACAATAATATTAACGATCGTTGAATTTTTAGAAATTAAAAAACCGTACATCCGACATAACAAGGGGAACTGTACAAAAATCTGTCTGTGTATTAAGTACTTTACCATTGTATGGCCACATTCAAGTCAAAATGGCTTTAATAACGCATGCATACTTCGATGAAGGTGATTTTAGTAAAGTATCGTTATTGGAAGATACTTATCATCATCTTAATTCTTGTATGAGTAGTGAGAGTCAAATACCACCGCAGCTCTTTGTCGGTAATTATAAAATAGTGGCAAACCTTTCTTGATATTAAAGTTTTCAAATACATGATACGAACAAACGTTTTATATAATCAATATTAACATTTACAGGATTATCTGCAAGAGACTTTATTCTGCAATTTCGGCATAAAGTTCTTTTGTTGTTTAAACTACTTTTATTAGAAAAAAAAATAGTTTTCTATCAATCACCGGTGCAACCATTATGTGCGGCAATATTAACATTACTTTCGTTATATCCGGGTATGATTGAACATGGCTTGCAACAAGCTGCTTATGTTAGGTAATATACACAGTATTAAATAACAAACTAAAGGTACATTCTTCCTTACACTAAATGTGTAATTTTTTTTTTATTAGACCATCTAGACCAATGTCTCCTATTCCATCATTTGATGAAGAAGAAATATCAATAAATAATATTGATAATAATGTATCTTCTATAAATTCTGTTAAAGATAACATATCAGATACATTGAAAGAGCATGTTAATGGTAATTCTAATAAAAATTCATTGTGTATAAATGATAATAAGCCTGTTGAAACCATCGAGGACAAATTCGAGGATGGATTTAGAGACATGACCTTACAAAAAAATAACAATGAAAATGAAAATTTAAATATGAAAGTTATCGAAGTCGAACCCGTGCAAGAATGTACAGAGTCATATACAGAAGAAAATAATTCTTTATATTCTGGGAAACCAAATGAATATGTACACAGAGTACAAAGTGTAACAACAATCACATTAGGCACAACAGATACAGACAATACATTACCGCGTGATACAAGTAATGACGCACTTTCAGATGCACGTTTAACAAACAATATTACTCAAATTGCTCATATAAATCCAGAACTTTGTGGCTTACCTTTAAATCTGTTTATGAAGGTACGAGAATATGAACAACGTTATTACTATCATTGCGAATATATAAAACAACAAATGATTAATGATTTACGAATTTCCTTAAGGGTTACCTATGTTTACCATATCTGTCCTTACCATATTTGGATCTCTTGGCAGATATTAATGTTAGAGGATACATAGTGGGAGTAACAAATATTTTATTCAAACAAAAAAAACAACTTATTGATGTATTGGTAGAGGTAAGTTTATATTCGGGTTTTTTTTAATGAAAAGTAGTTTTGAAACAAACTGATTAAAATTTTTACCGCGATTACAAAGGTTGACAATACACGAATAGAAACAACTGATCCAGAATTGAGAAGGCAATTACATCTCACAACAGAGGATCTAAGATTTGCTGATTACATAGTTAGACATGTATCAGAACCTCGTAAAGATATTTTCTTGGATGGTGTGGGATGGGAAGGTGGCGATGAATGGATTAGAACTCAATTTCGAGTCTATTTATTGAGTATGTTGCGAACATCTATGCAACAAGATAGTCGTCAGTCTGATCACTATAACTCCGCATTTATTGCTGCTTGGCGTTTGACAAATAACTATAAAATGTGGAGTAATTCTAACAAACCAGAAATCAATAATATAGAACCTGGTCATCCATTTGCAGGACAGTTATCGGTGCAAGATATGAAATTACGATTATCACAGTAAGTAAAATTACGTAATACATCTATCGGTTGAATAATTATTACAAACTATATTGTGTTTGTAAAACAAATGACACATGTATTGCAGTACAATGCAAAATACAGAAAGTGGTAGAAAGTTAAATCAAGCAATGGCATCAACCGGAAGAGCAGTTGCAACAACAGGGAAAGCCGTAGGTAAGTTGACTTATAAATTTATATGTAGAAAATGTATATTGCGTTTTGTATAATACATTAAAAACAATGTGCTTCGTTTATTAGGTGGCGCGATTTCGCAAGCTAAAGGAGCTTTTTCTAATTGGTGGAGTACATTGACTACGGTACAACCACCAGAGGAAGGAAAACCTGATAATCAAACTCCAAACATACATCAAACATTTTCAACTATAACTGACAACACTGCTATAAAAGACGAAGAAATAAATGTATCTACTAATAACACAAATCTAGGAGTTGTTGTAGAGTAATGTAGAAAACAGCAAAAATTTTAATCATTTATTACAGTGGCTATAAGAAACTTTTTTAAGACCATATATAAAACAGTGATCCTATGCCTACCGTAATAATAAATAGATATGGTAGAGTAAAAATAATTTATTCGTATTATGTAAGATGCTGATGTATAAAATAAGGTGGTTAAATATAACCAGAAACGTTCAGGTAAGAAAACATTAGTTGCAAAATGAACAGTATACATAAAATAGAGCTTGAACAATGTATTAATGTGATAGCATGGAAAAGAAATTATGTATAAAGTTTTTATTAACATTTTACATTGTTAGTTTGCATGTAATATGTTCTGATTATATCTGTTTCTTGATTTGTGACTTCTTTTTTCGATCAAAAAGAAGAAGAAATTAATTTTATTTAATTAAATATACTTTTACTAAGAAGATACAACTACTATTTAATATATACATTTATTATATTTTATTTACACAGAATGATACTCTTAATTGAAAAGTACCTGCAGTTTTATTTTTTGTATATAGAAATAAAACGAAAATATGTATATCTAAATAATGATATTAATTAAAATTTGTTTATAATAATTTGAGTATTGTTAAAAAATGGTGTAATTTATTATTGAAATATTATAATTTTACAAGATTTTACTTTAAATTGTTCAAAATTTCTGACACATAAGTCCTCTATTTTATCAAATTTCCATAATATTATACTTTTACACTTTTTACAAAGCATTATATCTTTAATCGAGAACATAAAAACTTTGATATGTTAGCTTGCAGTCTATAATATTGAAATTTATCTGTGTGATGTATTTATTGTGGTATAAAAATCGGAAAATATCACAAAAATATTAGTCTAATAATTTCTTCTTAGAAGAAAATATTTAAGGAACCTAGTGCAGTTTTATAACTTCCAAAACAAATGATCGTACTTTGTTATTCATAATTTATTATAAACTTAGATTCTATACTTACAATAAGTATGCGGGACTATTTATAATATATTAGATTAGTATGTGTTAGTATACGATGAACGATATATGTATTTAATTAAAGTAGGGAATGCATTTTTAAATTATTTTTCTTTCTTACGAGATATTTAAGTACTAACTTAACAATTTTTCTTGTAACAAATTACAAATTTATGCCTTAAATTTAAGAACATTAAACCGTCATTAATGTGATATATTTTCTACAATGCAATAAAAATGCATTACCTGCTAATAGACTTTAGTTCATAGGGAAGGTTTATTATATTAAATATTAATATAAAGTACTTAAATGACTAAGAATTATATGTAGCAAGTATAACGTTAATTTATTTCAAACCCCAAGTGAATTAGTAATTGTGATATTTTATTTATAACTATCAATATTTATTTCAAACTTATTGGCATACATAAACATAGATTTTATGGTTTATAAGGGTACTGAAAATAAATTTGCGCAAGATCCATTGTTATAGGAAATTACTTATTCGTATAAGACAGGGATTGAAAACAGTTACAATATCGATTGAGATTATTGAAATAGTTATATTTGTTATTTGGAATAATAGTTACATAGATATGAAAAGCGTGAACGCATCGATTCCGATTAGGGTTTTAATATCGATTCTTACATCGGTTTTGTAACTGTTACGTATCGGTTGTGTAACAGTTCCATAAATTACTTTTTAAATAATAAAACTGTTAAATGTGTATCATATCTGTAGGATAGTAGTGTGTAATGTACATTCTTAAAAACTGTTATATATATTTATAAATTTTTTCAATTTTCTTCGATTTCTTACAAATAAATAAATAATTAAATTTGTAAGTTTCTAGAAAATGTATGAAGTTTATAAATTTTCAAAAGATTTAAAGAATAGAGGAGTAATATTACATACAGGGTATTGCAGAAATACATGTAAATAGTTAGGAAGCCGAGATTTAAAGGAATTCGAAATATTCATAACGCGCCTCAATATCGAATTATAGTAATTGTTGGAAAATATTGAGTATTTCTCCAATAGTCTTAAATTTATTTTGTATCCATTTTCGTAAATTTTGGACATTGTTCATTTGTGTTGCATAATAGATTTTGCTATTCTAATATGAGTTCTGATCAGAAGACGGTACATAAAACCATTTTGCTGCTTTTAGAACCGTACTAAACTCTTGAAATTGAGATACTGATTGTGAATTTAGATTATTAATAAATCTTACAATCGATGAAATTTATAAAAATCATGTAATGACAAGATGTACTACTAAGTGTGTAGTAGCATGTGTTGACGAACATTTTTTTTACTTTTTCATAACTCGAAAATTAAGAAATACAGAACATATGTTCATATGACGGTTTTTTTTTTATTGTTTGTAATGTATAGGTTTAACTCCTTAAGTATTTATATGTATTTTTTAAATATTCTGTATACACGATACACATTTAACCGTTTCAGGTTCTAAGAAATCGATGCAGGAACCATTACATAATCGGAACGGAAACCGATATTACTATCATAACCAGAATCGATATGTTTACTTTTTTTGGTTCTCCATAACACCTATTCTGAATAATGGTTCTTCATATCTGTTGTACCAAGAACTTTTATATAACAATTTAAAAGAGTTATTTGTAGACAATTTTCAACCCCTCGTATAAACACTAAGCTTTTATATTATAAAATTATGTCACACTAGTCATCAAACCGCGTATTATATGATTTAAATATATTATACTGAAATTTGTTCTTATTTCGTGAATTTTTAAATGATAATTGAAAGCATGTAAAATAAAACTTATTAATTGTTATCTAAATATGAAACAGGGTTACATAGACATGGTAATGCATTTTGTATTTAAAATAATTTTTGTTTATTTCTAATACTAATTCATTACATCGAATCATAAATTGTATCGAAGAATTATTATTTCGCTTTTTTCTCGTATTTTTTTCAAATCTTTTTTTAATTTCATGGATGAAAAGAATGTGTTTATCACTGAAAATTAATTAACAATACTGTTTTCAATATATAACATATGTATATATAAATATATTTGATGTTTATACATACATACAAACATTTCTGGTGTATTTTGAAACATGAAGGAATGTCAGATATATTGTAAGCAATCATTGATTAAAGTGAGTGTTATTATGTTTACATACCATATTATCAGAAAAGTAAAATAAAAAATAAAAAATTAAGGATTAATCTTTATAAAACTTTGAATCTGAGCCATACCAAAGTGAAAAATAATATTAATTACAGATACATGTTTTGTTATTACTAATAGTTAAATATGTTTTCTACATTTATAGAAAGTTTTTATAGCATAATGTAAATATTTGTGTAACAATAGAAGTTATTTATAATTTGCCATTATCTGTTATATAATTACAACAATGCAACTTATTAGTTCTCTCAAAATGGAGATAATATGTGTTTAATTTTTTATTTCATACAATGTTACTTTTGTTAAAGAAAAAGCGAAAAAGAACAAATGATTATATGTTTTTCAATTTTGTAGCCTATAATCTTGTAACAATAAATGACACTATTCTAAACTCAAAATCTGTTTTAATTATAAACATTGATGCTATATTATGTAATACAAACATATATTCAGATATTAAAGCAATGTATTAAATACATTAAATAATACAAAAATTGAATGCTGATTACATCTTATGTTACTGATAAATAAAATATTAACTGTATTTTATTTGAGTTATGTTTCATAATGTAACTATTATACATATTTATAAGTCAGTTATATCTTAAATGTAACTATGACTATAATTGCACCAATTAAACATATTCTAGAATTCGAACTCTAGTTATAAAACACGATGCTGGTGACAATTTTATTATTCAAATAAATTTCCCATTATTGTATCTATCAAAGATTAATACAGTTGAAAAGTTTCTGAAAATACCCGTTTTGAACTATTATATATTGGGACTGATTGAAATAAGTTATAAAAAATCTTCAATTTGAATAACTGTTACATAGAATCAACATTTTCAAGCGTATTGGTTTTGGTTTCAGTTCGTCAGAACCAATATTACATGGGTCCTATAATTACCATTTTTCGGTTTTGTATCAATTATGAGAGATAATTCTTATGTCAGTGTTATTTTGTTCCTTTCTTTAAAATTCTATTATTATTTTTAGAAAACTGGAAATTATAAATATTGGAACTAAAAATACTAAATAGAAACAAATAAACAATGAAGTGTCTAAATAAAGTATATGTGTACATTACATACCGAAATTATTGCAGAACAATTTTCGATTATACATCGCAGATTTGAAAATATTGATGTACAACGTTGCATTCTCCTCGTCTCATGGTGTCAACATTTTTTCAAGTATCACTCACGAATATATTAATATGTAACAGTAATATTAATTTAATGTAATGAAAACAATAGTTCGCCTTAAGAAAATATAATTTTATTCTGTATGAAATTTAAAGCGCTTCTCACTGATTCGAGACGAGTCAGTAGATATAAACAAACTTGTGCACGAACCGCGTATAACAAACAAAACAAACCAACATAGAAACGAAACATGTAATATAACCATTATAATATTAATATAAAAATTCGGAATAAAAATTGTTTGTGACTGATTGAAGAATCGAAACCGATATTATAACTGATTTCAACCTGTGGTTCATACTACATACACTGTATAATGTAACTAACGAATATGAAAGTTTCGTCAATCTCTGTTACCAGATGATACGAGAAAATCAATGAAAGTATTTTAAACAAAAATATATTCGAAAAAGAAACAGACTGTCATTCTGTAAGAAAAATCTTATTAACCGTATGCGATTTGAATGATCAGAGGATTTAGTCACTGGTAACCGTCTACCGTTTGGAAGTAGCGAACGCAATTCGTAAACAAGAAATAGGGACGATCTCAGGGCGAACCGTGACTGGTCGGCCGATGGGCCGAATAAACATCGTAGTTCACCGATAATAGCCGAAGTCGTAAGGTGGCGAACGAGATTACTGATGCGAACGAGTAGTAGAACTGTACAAGTGTATAGTGAAGCGACGTCACTGCCGACAAGAGTGCGTGCGTAAGAAAATCGGATGATTTTAAGACGCTGACGGTCGTTGCTCGTTACAGTGATTCTTCCGTAATAAAATACGGTCTTGACAAGTGCTGTGTTCTTCGTACGCGCATACACGAGAAAAGATAGAGTTGCCGTACGACATTCGGAGAAAAAAATTTAATATGCATACTCTCTCGGAATAGCAAGTATGCACTGCGATTATTACGTGTGTGTGCCGGCGTTTAGAATATACGTTCGCTCCGTCGCGTAATCGGTGTTTTCGTCACAGTAACGATCTATCGGAACGAGTACAAAGAGTATCAGCATTGTTTGTGTTTTCACGCTCGTTACTATTTCCGTTTGAGAGTAGCTATGCAAGAAACGGATAAATCGGTAACTGGCGGGCGGCAGCCATTTTCCAGATGAGTTTTTCCCCTTTCTTCGAATAAGCAAAGTGCGCTATGTCGTGAAAGAGAAAGAAAGAGAAAGGTAGCTGCCAGGTAGGGGAAAGGAAAGAGACAGAAATCAAGAAATAGAAGGAAAGAATAGTGCTTATTATGTGTTGCGAAGTACGTTTGAACATACGGGGCGTTTAGTGATCGGCCACCGAAATTCACAAACGTGGCAACGTGTGCCGTTTTCCAGTTAATGAGCGTTTAACCTTGTATTGGCCGGTGCGAAGAAGATAGAATTATCTAGGGAAGTAGCAAACCAAAGAATGAGAGAGAGAGAGAGCTACCCACAGACAATACACAGACCCCCCATTGCCGCGCGTTCGGTCATCCGTTCGTAATCACGTATCACGACCGTTCCTGTCTCTGTCATGATGTCAGGCCTAGTTTATGAGTGACTTGGTCTTTGATTTCCGCGGTCATAAAATAGTGGACTCGCGTTTTAAGTACGATATAAAATTCTTATTGATTCTACGCGATAACCTCAAAGTCGCGAAACGAATTCGACGTTTTCTAGGCGTCATTCAGACAAAATCGAGGTGAAGCTTGTCAAACTTAATCGTGCGACGAGAAAACGACTTTGTGTCTCGCTTCAAGTTTTAAGCTGATTGTTGTGCCTGTGATACGGCATTTCACCGCACAACAGGTATCTACACGATCGTGTTTCAAGTGTTTCATTCTTCTTTGACTTGTTTAAATAACCTTGATCAACGCTATGAACGATGATACTTTTCTGTTTTTGCTGTACCGTTTAATTTATTTACAAGGTTTCATAACCTCTCCTTGGTATTTATTGGCTGTTACTATTTATGCAAATTTTTGTCGTTTCAAAAACTCAAGTAAGACCAAATTTTAATTAACCTATCACCTTTTAAATGCGTTTTTGTTTGTTTTCTGTATTTTTTGGATTAGTATGGTGGTTGTTGTTTTTTCAGTATTCGTGCTCATACTTTTAAACAAACGAGATCATTGGTGAACAAATTTTTTTATTGAGGAAAACACAGAAAAATATCAAATATCATGTATTTTTTCAAATAAAAGATTGTTTTTAATGCTTAAAATGTGATTCTGAAAGTAAAAAACATGGAAGTATTATTTCATACTGGTATAAACAATTAAATGTATAGTCCAAACATTTTTTAAAATATTAAATGTTGTAAGATTAAATAATCATTTTTAGCTAAATATTATATTATCAGTGTTATTTAATTTTTCTACTAAAAATTGCTTGTTTTAGTGTAACATTCCTGATACTATTATAACATTTAAATTGCAATATTTTCCATTCAAAATAATCTTTTTTTATGAGTTTATCAAAGGAAAAAATAATTTTGGATTGTTGCCTAAATAAATCTGAGTGTCCAATTTAAATACGAAGGAGATACGTGTAATATAAAGTGTCAGTATTATAAAATATATTTTTCTGATTAATTGTAAATTTTTTGAGAAGAAACAAAATAGAAAAAATTGTCTTCATCTTGTAATTGTTAATATGGCCTAATGTTTTTATTTAATTATCACATCTTATAATAGCTTTTTGTGTACATCTTATACTTCAGAAAGTAATTTATTCGGACATAATTACAAGTATATAAATACACGATTGTTTGAATCAATTTTATACTCTATGATCAAGAGAGTGTAGTGAGATCAATAATGAAACTGGTGCTCTCATTGGTGCAATTCGATTCAACAAAACTAAGAGTTTCCTTATCGGTTACAAGAAGCCCATGAAAAGTGCATTGAGAGTGCATATTTCTGGCGAAGACATCTGTGCTGTGACATAATTGAGCAAGTTGGATATCAGTGTAATAATGTAGTGCCAACTTTGCAGATGGATAAACAGGGATGACTGATAATTGCTGGAACTCTGGTGGTGGTAAGTTTCATAAATTTGATATTGTGTAAATTAATATTTATAATTAGTATTGGGAATAACATAATTATATCATTTTAATTTAATCCATTATAATTTGAAGATATATAAAGTATAAAATATAATTTTAACGGAGCATATTAAACATTTCATAATTACATTTCATTACTAGTACATGAATTTGTAATAAATTTAATAGTATTCATATTCTAACAACTTCAATTCATATATTATTTTTGTGCATCTTTATGATACATATTTGATAGAGAAGAAATATGGAACATACATTCTTACTTATTATTTTATATGTCATCAGTTACAAATAATTTCATGTATTAATAAAATATGTGTCACAGTTTTTTTTTGTGAAATATAAAAGAATGAGTATTACAGTCACATGTGTAGTAGATAAGATAAAGTTTATTTATGTTTTTATACAATACTGTTATCATTAACTTATATTTGGTACATAAGAGAGTTTTATAAGAAACTTCTATAAAATTGATATTGCATGCTTACAATTACAATGATACTCAATTATAGGTGTTAAGAATGTGAAATGCTGTGATATAATCTTTTGTTATTGAATATTAATTGTAACATCTATTTAATATTTTTTTATTAAGTCAATGTTATATTACTTTTTAGCATGATAAACCAGATTTATTAAAAGAAAATCAATGTCTGATCAATGTAGTTGTAAAAATTGTTTTTTTTATAAATTATTTACTGAGATATAATGTTAAAGGTCTCAGTCAAAATTTGTTGAAAATCTGGGAAGTATATTAACGCAAAATTGTGGAAAAATTTATAATTGCAAATAAACATAAATTGTTTAAGTTATATTCTGTTCGATATCAAATATCTCTAAAATATATTTAAAAATTTATTTTCGTTTTCTTGAAAATAAACGTATTAATTTCTTATACATCTTTGTGCAGATTTTCTTTTACTACAAAACTTCGTTTTTGCATTTGCAATAACTAAATTATTGAATACAGTATAATACATTGTTAAAGTATTAAAAATAATAAAATGATACACACAGTATACATTTCTTTACTGACGAAATTCAAGAAATCGTAATAAGAAAATTATAATGTCGATCGTATAGATAATTTATTTATTTATATAAACGTTTCCTCCTAAAATAATAATATATGTTTTATGAGGGCACGGCTTTTGTTGGATATAGTTTTGTTTAGTTTTTAAGAAAAATGTTCAAAAAATGATGGAAGGATTGATACTGTGACAGTTATGGATTATGCTTCCTTTCATTAATGCGACGTATGTTATTTGAATAACATCGATAAATGGCGATGTGTATCATTTTATGTTGTTCGTACGTTTAACTAGGTTGGGTTTTCTACACGCCTCCATGAAAATGCGTCACAATTCTTTCGAACAGATTGACACACGTCACGACAGGCACCGTAATCGGTTACTCCTAGCGAAATACCTTCCTTCCTTCCATCCTTTCTTCCGATTGGCTGGCGCCATGTTTTCGCGAAACGATGAGCGCGAAACATAAATAGGGCATTCTTTGTACATTAATGTTTTGCAGATCATTTGTAGTATTTTGCGTAGATTCTAGACGAATGTGGAACAATATAGGTTATTAGTAAGATTGTATTTTTTCACATTTTTAGACTTTGCATTATTAAATTCATTGAGTTTTAAAGGATTCTTCAGAAATGTAATTAATTACTCGAAATCTTTTACGTGCAATTTTTCAATTACCATATTAAACATAACATTTCTGCCTTTGTACATTTTCCTTGTTTATTAAAATTTGATTTGTCCTAAAATGTAGACATTTTAGGAAACTTAGTGTTGCGTAAAGTTTGTACGTTCATGTACGTTATTTTTATAGTAATGTATAGTTGCTAGGGAAAATTCATATTCTTCTTACGTTACAGTTAAATTAATAGTACCTTTTATTTCTATTAGGGTCCTTGTGCATTTATTTAAATTTACGATTTAACAACGAGAAGCGTTTTCGATTTAATTTTTAATTTCAAGTCCGTTTCTATTCTCTTTATTTTGACTAAATTTTTGTATTTATTTTTACGTGTGGATTTGTTTCGTTGTTTATTTATACGAATGTGTATCCATAAAATAATTGGGCACATAATTGGAATGCATCTGCGCTTAATTTAATGAAAAGAAATCTATCGTATTTCACAACACACATAATTAAACATAATTAATCTAAATTCGATTTACTGTGGCAATTGTTCGAAATTTAGCATGCCAGATGGATTAAATTTCAAGGAATCACTCATATTTACCAAATAATAATATATTTAATTAATAACCGATTAACCAAATTATTGGTGTTAATAAGGGGATAACATGAAGTTTCACGTTTCAATTTTAATGAAATTTTACAGACAGATAAGGAAATAGAAAATATTTTCTTTAACTCTATAGGTTACCAAGTATTTTACAGTAAAGATTATAAGATTATAAGTTAACTTTCTCATTCATAATGTGTTAAATTTAGTACATTGAATTTCATTTTTCAAAAATGTTGTCTGTACGAACGTTCAGCTTACGAGATAGATCATCTACGTTAAGTGGTTGTACTCGTTGGACACTATTGTTGCTATTTATATATACAGGGTATTTCATAACCTGTGGTACTTAAACGATGGATTGGGGACACAAAAACAATGAAAACAGCTTATACATATAAACATGCCTCCTATTTGCCTTTGTTTCCAAGTTTAGTCATTTTTCTGCTTTGATAATATGTAGCTATTTATTATTAATATAAAATTGAAAACCCATGTGTTTGTGATTTCTCTGTAACTTCTACTATCTTTGTCCAGTCCACGCGAAGTTTCGTTTAGCTACTCTTTATGTTTCGACGGAAAGAACAAGGTATTTAATTTGCGGAAAGATTGCCTATAAAACAGACTATAAGATTTCAACCGAGCAGAAGGTCCTCTATCAAATGACACTTGTGATGTACACCTTATGTTTTATAAAGCTTTAATACGATGAGTGCTGACTGAACTCTTTATGCCTTTTGATTCGCGCTGAACATCTCTCAGGTGTTCTGGATTATCCTCAACATTTGTCCAAACTATTATGCCAATTACGTCAATATTAAAAATATTCAATATTTTAATGATATTCGTATTATTTTATAGTATTTTCAATGATATTAATGTTATTCAAAAGTTTAAAAGAATTAGGGTGTATCTATGGTAAGCGTTCTGTGTATGTCGCAGTGTCGGTCACCGGTGACCGACGTGATACTGAACGTATTAATCTAACATAAAATTTAAAATGTAATTCTATTTTATTTTAACTATCGCAAAATAAATATGTACGTAATATTTAAAAAAAAATATTTCAGATATTTTGTTGAATTTTCCAACAGTCTTTTTATACAGGGTGTTCGGCCACCTCTGGGAAAAAATTTTAATGGGAGATTCTAGGATCCAAAATAAGACGAAAATTAAGAATACCAATTTGTTGATTGAGACTTCGTTAAAAAGTTATTTACGTTTAAAGTTCCGCCCGTACTGAATTTTTGTCTCCAAAATGCGCAAGATTTCGGGGGTATGTATATTCACCACAAATGATTGTAATTGACCCCTGCAACCGAAAATAATTTTTCCAAAACGATTTGAAATTTTTTTTTCCGTCGAAAAATTTAGGCACCTAATTAGATTTTCGATAAGGAATTTTTTTCTCGAAAGTGCGTAGGATTTCGGGGATATGTGTAATGACCAAAAATGATTATAATTGATCCCCGCAACCGAAAATAATTTTTCCAGAACGATTTGAAATTTTTGAATTTAATTGTTAATAACTTTTTAACGAAGCCTCCATCAACAAATTGGTATTCTTGATTTTTGTTTTATTTTGGCCTCTAGAATCCTTCCATTAAAATTTTTCCCAGGGGTGGCCGAACACCCTGTATACTGCGACTTCAAAACTGCAATAGAAACGTATTGACAATGAGATTGAATCAGATCTTAAAAATGTAAATAATGAGTATGTGACTTCAGAGTCACGTTGGATTATAGAGTTAAGTTGCTCATGAATCATTGGAGTTTGATCGCCATTATTTTTTATTTTTTCTGTTATATGTACGGCATATCAATCTGTTTAAATGAGTCCCACTAAAATCCATGAGAAGATAGCGCTTTGACAAGTTCACTAGTATAGATCAAATTAGGCTTTATGAATTGTGGTAGCCCCGTGACCACCACCCTTGTTGAACTTCTCTGCTAATAAGCTGTACAACGTTGTGCCATAACCTTCAGTGGTCGTTGGCCTAAATATTATAGTGCAGTTCATTATTGCCTAATATATTGATATTCATAAAAATTTGAATATTCGTATTATACTTAGAAGTGCACCGAGAAAATTTGAGTATTTTTTTAGATTGATACTCTATCGATACCAAATAGATTTAAAGACAAGAAACTATGAGTTTCAAATTTGAAAATAACAAATGCTTTTAATTATTTACAAATAAAATATTTTAAATATAGTATATATATATATATATATATATCATATAATGTGACAATGATCGACAGCTTATACTTTATTTATAAAGGTATAAAATGGATGTCATTTTATCACGCGGGTAAGGTGCCCCTGTTGCTGGTCAGAAATGTCTTTCTACTGTTTTACCACAGAGTCGGTCATCTATTTATATTGTAGTTCTTGAAGAAATATTTCATAAATTGGGATATTAAATACAAATTTGTTTCTTGCAAATTGAAGTATTGCAGAAAGAAAAAAAATATAAGTCCCGAGTTAATCTTTTCATTCTCACTCTTCCCATGCGGTTACATATTCATAATTATCGAATAAAATACTACTGTCATCTAGATTTTCAAATCTATGAATATGGCTTAGTTCCTTCTAGCTTTCTATAATCACGCATTTATGTTTTGACATACAATTAAAAACTTCGTAGTAGAATAGAATATATTACCATCAGTCGTTTAGATGCAGTTACAGAATGGTAATAA